TTGACCATTAGAATAACTAAAAAAAAAACACAAATCAATAATCTTTTTATAACCTGAAGGTATTGATATTTTTCTTCCGAAAAATCCGAATGCTTGTATGATGATAGGATCTCTGGCGACGACAATTACATCTGTCGATTTATTGTCTTATTTCATTTATTAATTTGTAAAATTTTTTCTTAATAATTCTGCTATGGGTTTCTCAAAACCTAAGCAAGCGAGCTAGTAGAAATACATTTTTCCTGATTATTTTTATGTTAAATAAAAAAAAAAAAACGTTTGCCTTGATATTTCCACACATACTGACACAATATTTATGTTAAATTTAATCAGAAGAAAAACACCGATGTTATTGAAAAAACATAAATTGAGGCTGGGGAAAAAAGCACAGCAAATGTTCAGTAGAATGTTCCAAAGTTTGTAAAAGTAGCTCGGAGTCGATCTGGGAATCTATAAGAACTGGGACCCAACATTTCAAATAGATATTTTAATAATTTATATGGAGAAAACAATTTACTTTCAGGTTCGTCAAAAAATTAAAAAAAAAAACGGTTAGGTACGGACATCTTTGGCACGCCGAACATTTAATACCCTTGATGACATTTTCCCCACGGTTTTGCAGATACGTGTGAGAGAGAGAGAAAGAGAGAGAGAGAGAGCGAGAGAGAGATCGTTAGTGCTAAGTTTGATGAAAATATGTTGGAAAGAAGGATATTTCGCCGATTCTTCATATAGAGCTGTATAATATAGAATTGCGATTTTGATAAGCTTTGACTCTGACATAAGCAGCATTGTGAAACTAGTAAATGCCGAATTCGATCAAGCTATCTTGATAAACCTATTATTTGTCCATACAAGTACTTCATTTTCGACTGATCGTTCCTATTGTAGCTATATCAGATCAACTTGGGGGATGGGAGATGACTCCTTCTTTAATGACAAAATTATAAGACTCTCCACAAGGGTATAAAAAGCACTTTTGTTAATTTTTGTTAAGAATACATTTTCAGTTGTGGGGCTTAGAATGGCTTAACTATTTACTCCTTAGAATATTATTGAAACTGTGTTGCTTACTTTTGGGATAGCTTTTGTTTGCATTCAAAAATCTACGGAATAAGGGATCGCTTTTCAAAATATATTTTAAAAGTGTTTTTTGTGCAAGTCCTTATATCGAATTTTATGATCGGTTATTGTTTTCAAATTGGTCAAAAACTAAGGCGTCCTGATATGATTAAGTCTCTGACTCGGCGACATTTTTCTTTGTGGCGTCTCGCCGAATTCTCGAGCGGCACAGTGGGTTCGACACGAAACCAATTGATGTGAATAAATGTTAACTTTAGTTAATATAGGCTTATGTGCTGTCATAGTCTTGCATATGCATAAGTATACGCAGAGTCTTTTGTTATTCATCAAAATATATTTGCCGCACAGGTGAAGCATCTTAGTTGTATATACGCTCGCCGCTCCACGGTACAAGTCCACATCAAGCTGCTGGAAGGGCTTTTTGCCAATGCGACGCCAAGGATGGACGCGGGTATTTCTCCAGGGGGTTGTCGTTATGACTGTTATTGTTGCTGTTGTTATGGCTGGCGTTGTTTAGTTGACTTCGGCCGCCAGTCGCCGTCTGCGTTACCGTCGCCATCGCGGTTGCCGCCAGTGTAGCTGGAGCCGGCACCCGGCAGACCGGCAGCCAACATTCGACAACGAAACTGAGCGCAGATACAGATACAAATAGGTTTAAGATTCAACACCATGGGGACAAGAAGCCAAGTGTCGCCAACTAGAAATTTATTTTCTATTACTGTTCAGTTTTTAGTCTTTCATTTTTTTATTATATTTTTGCATGTTTTGTTTTCAATTTTTGTGCTCTTCTGTCGCTGACATGACTTAACACTTGCTGCTATTAATTGCATGAAATGCAAAAAAACCTATCTGTACAAAAGTACATATATGTATCAAATATAGACTCATTAAAAATCACTTGATCCTTTTAACCAAATCCTAGTTTTTGTCTTTTTAGGCAAGCACTCGCCATGTGCCTTGTGCCAAGCAGTCTGTCCGTAGCTTTTTAATACTTTTCTAAACGTACTTAGAAAACTTAAGCAACAAGTACAAATATCTTTGTGTTTTGAAACGTGAATTATAATTATCAATATTTAAATTCACGCTTAGACAGCCACACTTATGATTTTCAACCATAAATAATCTACTACGCATGTAGGATTACACGTTAAGATGCCATATATATGTCAACACATACATATGTGACAATGAGTCAGAAATCAGGATGTTTGGCAGCGGCGACGGCGCCTTGTCCAACGCTTCTGTGCCGCCGTCTGCGTCAGTCTGCAGAATGCTCTGCGCAGTGGTCACAAGTGCGCACTGGCGAGAGCATATAAAAGGATAACCGCGTACACGGCTGGCATTTAGTTCGCAAGGAATCATGCCGCAGGACACAGCAGTCCATTGTGCGCCGCCTAAATGAAATATCAGTGAATGCCGCTCACAACCGCAATAGAAAAGAAAAATAAACGCGACAGCCTCCGTTGAGCACCCAACTTTTTTAAATTGATTGAAAAAAAGTCTGAAAATGATTAATGCACATGTTTAGTTTCGAAATATATATTACAAAATAATATACAACAGTGTTTTTGGGAATTCGGTAAGTTTAAGATAAGGTCTTAAAACATAGACAAGGGTCTGAAAGACAAACTCGCCCAAGTATATTCAAGTTAATATAAGTATTATGCTTAAATCTTGTTAATATTTGAATGTATTTAAAAATCATTTTTAAATTAAGATTTGGCAAACATTCATCTGTAGCCAACATAGTTTTTATTTACTTATACCACTTTTTTGACGTCTCTAGTGATCTCCCAATAAAACTTTTAGATGGCTTTCAAATTGCAGACGTGTAATATGCTGAAATGTTATTATAATATTAATATATAAAATTGTTTGTCATGACTGACTGACTAATTGGTAATCAACGTACAGTCCTACCCGTAAGACCTAAGACTTATTGTAAGGTTTGGAAAATGGCGAAGACAGTTTTATGAAACTTTTTTGCCATACGATCGGCCTCTATCTCGTTTTCGAAGATATTTCTATAAAATTTTAAGGGTGCTCAACACATTTCCGAAAATCGTTTCCTCCTTAATGGAAAAGGGGTAAGAAATTTGTTGGGTGAAGTTTCGGATTCAAATCGATTTTCAAGGATCCTCATGAAAATTCATTTGAAACGTGTTTTACACTTCAGGACAAATAGTTTTTTATATATAGAGATTTGTTAAATAAATAATTGATAGGGATTCCCGGGAGGCTGGAGTGAGGGAACCTGTGAAATTGCCGGCCTAACCGGCGGCAAAGTCGAGTCGTGGAAAAGCTAATACTATATATAAGTGTTTTTCCTGACTTACTGAACTGTGACCACGCAGTGTCCAAACTGTGAGAGCCCTTTGGGTCAAATGTGAACATTAAGACGAGCCGCTGGAACGGACCTTTGGATTTCTAAAGTTGCATTTTTAAGATCATTTAATTGACAGGATTCTTCAAGCACAACACCAATAAAAATAATTCCCATTTCATGCATAATACTACCTAGTCATGACATGGTCGGTAAATTTTAGTCGTGTTAGATCCACCGTTTTTGTGTCACAAAAGGCAATTTGGCTCTCGCACATCTCTACACCTAACCCCACGGGTGAAATGCATTCTCAATCGTGAAGTCGAAGAGACAGACACGCAACGATTGCGCTGAAGTATATACAGGAATAAGTTGACGATTACGATGCGGTGATGGTCAAACAGGTTCCTGACTGTGGGGCTACTTCTCTGTTGCTCTGCTCTTTAATGGTTTTTTAACAAGTTTGCTTTAGCAGAACTTGTGCGCTGATGATATCTTATTTGTTTTAGGCTCCTAATTGCGCTCATCTCATAAAATACATACGGAATTTAGCAGGAATGCGTCATCGACCACCCAAGTTATTCTACTAACTGCTGGGCCCATGATTGTCAGTGCCAAACAGCAGCAGCATTCACTCGTGAGAGGTTTATTAAGGCTCAGAAGGACATAGATGGAACTGTGATTCTGAGCTTCACCCAATTACACGTTTTTCTAAGCAAGGATAAGCTAATTTGTACCCAAGTCTCAAAATTGATGAAACGGGCGACCTTAGGTAAATTCAATAATTCATCTCAGTACAGAAAGATTTAGTCCTTCAAATCGTAACAGCTGGGAAACTGACGTTTTTACTGTAGTTTTGGGAAATTCCACTTTCGAGCATGGACAAATCCTGGAGAGTATTTGTTGGCAATCGTTTTTTATACACTGGCTGAATCTCATATATTCCGTGGGCGCAGTAGCAGTACATCAAAATAAGGTCTAGTATTTAAGCTGTGGATCCGAAACCTTGACATAACGTTAGCTTCCTGTTTCATAAAGCAGAAAAATATTGTTTGAAACTTCATCTGAAATATTCTGTGGTGAAGTGAGTCAGTATTCTGCCAACATCCTACAGTCGTCTCGCCATCGTCGTCGCAAAACCCTGCGTTCACGACCTGTTATTATCGTAATGACAGCAGCCTATTTGCTTTTATGTTTTCAAGTCGTCCAAACCCAAGACAATTATCTCTGCTGGAGCTGGCCATCAGGCTGTCCGATGTTTCTTTGATCTCTTTTGGCCACTAAGCGTCTGTGTGTGTATGCATGTGTGTATGTATGTGTGCGTCCTTAAAGGGGCGCCACTGGTCCGGCAGACCGGAACGCAGAGACTGCAACTGATATGGCTATTTATCAGTTTTTGTTGAATTCTTTGCTCAGCCCTCCTGAGTACGCAATTCTTAAAACTAAATTATATTATCGGCAAATTTGTTTGATTTTCTGATTTTATTAATAAGGATCTGTTTTATTGAAAATCCATACAAAACGTATTCTTTTATTAGATATAATACATACTAGTTTTAAATCATTAAAGTTAGCTTACAGATACATATGCACATCTGCTTACATGTGTATATAATTTAAATGTTGTGTTCAACTTATTGAATTACCCAGTAAAATTCCAACTACACGAGACTTAAAATTGCGCACAGCCAACTTAACGTGAGTCACAAATTGCGTGCGGCCAACTTCAAGTGGCTTAAATGTGCGGAACATTGTGCTTCTGTATTAGTGCAACGGCTGTAGCTGTGTGCGAGAGTGAGCAGTGGCAAATTCACCACACATCCGACAGATACAAAAACACACATATGCATACTCTCTCAAAACGCAAGAAACTTTCGTAGTGAACGGACGTGGTTTTTCGGTTTCTACACGAACATTTTTTGTTGTGAACGCGGGCGTTACCAACAAATAAATGCAATAAACGTAGACAAACGACAATTGCTTTCACGGCGTCCGCGTTTCCATGCTGTTTTGACATTTCGTTTTATAAATATTTCTTAGTTTTCATAATCGAGTATTGTACAAGTAAAAAGTGAAGTGAAATGTAAAGCGTTTAGTGACAAACAAACGCAATTTCGACGCCGTCAACGTTCATAAATGTAAGCCGTAGCGAGAATTAAATGATGTGGAGGAATAACGGCACCCGAAAAGTGCGATGTAAAAAAATTAACGATAAACAACAATTTAGCTGTACGCAACGTGAATGCAGCATTGAATAACGGTTATAACGCAACTAACCGAATGTAAAACGTAAAGAAGATTGATCAATGCAAACCATAATACGTGTATATAAGCAGACATATGTCTGTATGTATGCATGCATATATATATATATATATATATATATATTGCATGCAAAAACATATAAGAAATATCATATCCTATTTTACGACTTCTGTAAATTTCCAATAAAATATTTTGATTTTATCGTAATTTGGGAGCTTATCAACACTTGAAACTTTAGTTCCTTTATGTTATGTTTAATCTATTTTCTTTTAGTTTCTATGCTTGATTTTCTTTGCATTCTCAACATTCAGTGATTATGCCATTGGGTGTATTTTTTTCTTTTACTTTTGTTTATGCGTATCTATTTGCGTTAAATAATAGTAGCATATGTTTCGTGAGTTCTTTCCAAAAAGGAGTCTGGAAATGATTTAAATACAATTGTAATTTGTGCAAAAATGATATATGGGCAAAACAAAATACAGAGTATTGCGCAGTCGCCTTCAAGTTCTCACAAGGTTTTGCGACCAAACATAAGATTTTCCAATTTATTAAAATTTAAACAAATAAATAAGATCGGATTCAAGCATAAATAAATGCGTTAGGAAAACATTTAAAATATGCGCAAATATTGCTAAAAGCGCATTTTTTGCACGTGGCTAAAAAATAAAGCTGCTTAAATATATGAACAGCAGACATTTGACACCCAAACTTAAATAAGCCTCTCGCAATAACGATTGGCTCTATTATTATTTATTTGTTTAGCAACGACAATTAACTTGGGGCTAAATTTACCACGTACGAATTACATTTCTTCGGAAACGCACACAATTATTTTAGTGTTTATTTATGGATATGAATATGTTTTTGTATGTAAAGTTGTTGTAGGCTGAAAAATACAGCTGACTTGTGAAGAAAGATTGACGGTCGGTCAGTGCTAAACCAAACTAAAAATAATCAATTACCCTTTGTACCTCGTATGTTGACGCGCAACAGTTTCTGTGGATGTGAATCAAGCAAACCCGATATGTTTGCCAATGAGTACGATATATAATATTGCTTATCAATTCCAACATGAATCTTTAAATAGTTGTGATTGAACCCCGCATACATATCAAAAATTGCAATACATCAACATATCACAACATAAGATTGATATATTTTACACAAAAAGGATAATGAGGATGTCATGGATGAACCCTACCAATAAAGTAAGTATGTTCAATATATTTGTTGCTATCTTATTTGTATTGTTACGTATAGTTTGTGTACAATTATATTTTCCGACCGGAATATCACCTCAGATACTTTTGCCTCCGGGTATACAAATTAAAGTGTTAAAAGGAATTATATAAATTGCAAATATTGTGAATACGCATGTCTCTTCGTATAAAATCGTAATTACTAAAGGTATTTAAAGTCATTAATATGAATAGAAAAGGTAACAAAGAAAACAGAAGGGATCTAGGCGGAAGGGATCTTACACTGCGGTTGTAACTTAGCTTCATTCCTTAAAAAGCATCGGTGCTTATAGTCCGATCTACATATGATTTTCAAGGCATAACATGGGCAATGCATAAACGGGGCTCGACCTTTAAGCTTGGGGGAATTGGGGGTGGTATCCAAAAAGCGAATTATTTCAAATCTGTATACAATGCGACAAAAAATTAAGAAAAAATATATAATATTTAAAAACAATACTCGTGATGCACACGAAAAAAAAAACTGATGAAGCCAGGTGTGTTGATGCGTATTATTTTCGATGCACATTTCGTTACTTCCGAAACAAATATTAGTTAAAATTGATTTAAAAGATTAGAAATATAGTTTAGATGGCGACTGGCTAGAACATATGTATGTTCCATGGTTAGTGCTAGAACCCATGATCCCTCGTGCCAGGCTGACACGATCAAACGACAGCTTATCCACGCAGTCTCTTGATGTCACGTTTTTTCATACAAGGTTCTACAACCGTTATCCTATATGTAGGGCAACTGACAAACGAAGAATTTGTGTTGAAATCCACACAGACCCAGCACCCACACATAGAATATATATGCATATATGTGTGTATATCGTCTTGCCTCAATTGCAAAAAAAACTTCTGTTTTTAATTAAAAACTAAAATAACGACTGACAAGGACTACATATTACATTATTTGAGTTGTAAAAATAATGAAAGGAAAATTATAATTATTTGAATTGTAATTTTTTGCTGCTCTTATTTGCCCCAACCTGCAGCTATGTACAGTAAAAACGATATTATCAGGTAAAACTTTCGATGAAGCCCAATCGATGTTTCGTAAGAACTTGAGATAGACAAATATTATGCAATGAATGCAGCTCCCGCTATTAAGTTTGTTAAATAATGTATGTATGTACATACATACATGTATCTCTTTTCTTGACCGTGTTGGGCTACACTTGGCCATGCTCTGGTAAGTCCGTGCGTGTTTAAGAAACGCCCATCTCTAGTAATTTTGCACATAAATATTTGGGGTATTTTACCGGCGTCACTAAACATAAATAGTAGTGGCGCCAAAAGTGTCACATGCATATACATTGTATGTATGTAGGTACATTTGAAAGTATGGTGACATACATATGTATGTACATGTTAGCTGACGACGATAATGTTATGTACATATGTAGGTATTCGTGCACGTACGTCTTGCGTACGCATTACCATGAGTGCATTCATCCGTATGTATTTATGTGCTTATTTATTTTAGACGCAATCTTTTTGGCAATATAAGCGAATATCCTTGTTCCAAATTGTATATGCGGCTGTTATCATAGTTGCATTTATGTATGTACATATGTACTTGTTGAATTTTCAAAAGAATTCGGAAATGTGTTGTTTTTCAGCCACTGACACACACTCGCATGCGCGCTTATACACACACACGTGCGCCCGCACACAACACACACGAAAGACAACACACACTGACACGATGCTCTCTTGTGCACTTGCTTTTGCGCTCTCGCTCTTTTTAATTCACCTCAAATTGTTGATTCTTCAACTTGTCAAACCGGCTGACAAACCGACTGAACGAGCGACCAACCGACCGTCGGTCTATCGTATCGTTGTTGTATTGTTGTTGCTGGCGCTGTCGTTGTTCGTGTCTGTCTGATATAAGTTTATATTGGTGGCGCCATTGCGACGACGCCGCCGCCGACATCGTTACTATTATTTCTTTTATTACGTTTACGTCAGTGGCGCCCACTGTGGCGCCTGTGCCTCATTGCGTCTCGTCTCATCGCGTTGTTGCCCTGACTTTGCCTCTAGCTGGCACGCAAGCAAGTATATTCAATACGCGCGTGTGTGTGTGTGTGTGTATGTATACAACGTTCATTTGTACATGCATGCATACGTATGTATATATACATTTGTATGTTCGTCTGAGCGTGTAGTCGTGCCGTCATGTTGGCGGCGCCACTGTTGCCGTCGCGATAAGGAGCGCAAGAAATGCCAGCGAGCAGCCAGCAACAAAATGGTCGTAGGGGCCACAGTTTTGTATTTGGGTTGTTAACTGCAGCGGCCTTTGTCAGCGTTAGCGGTAGTCGGTGATGCTGCGCTGTCGGAGTCCGCTGTTCTGATGGGCGCATTACTCATGCGCCTTGATTCTCTACTTGTGCGTTGTGTTTGAGCTTTTTAAAGCTTTGATAAGAACTACACACATATTGCATAAGTTTAATATATATACATGTACATTTGTCTGTCCATAGGCATGTGTGTGTATTATAAAATATGTTCGGTGCATCTGCCCATGGAGCATACATGCAAATGTATCTACGTATGCACATACATATGTATATGTACAAACATGTAAACTGCAGTTTTATTTTAATTATATGTATTTTTTTAATACTAAATTTGTTTTTCATTCTATTATTTCGTTTTGTTCATCTCTATATCTATATGGATATAAAACGGTTTTTCCTGATTGACTGACTGACTGATTGGTGATCAACGCACAGCCCAAACCGTAAAAGCTAGGAAGCTGAAATTTTCACTGTAGTTACCTTATGTGATGAGGGTACACGCTCAGACGGGGTTTCGGGAAAATCCACCCGCATGTGTGAAAATGGTTGTATGAAACCTTTTTTTTACCATCCAATCGGCCTCAAACTCATTTTCAAAGAAATTTGTCCAAATTCATTTTGAGGGGTGCTGCACACTTTTCGAAAAATCAATTCCTCCTTGTTTGAAACGCTCAAATTCATTTCCAAAGATCTACATAAAAAGTCATTTGAGACATGTTTCACATTTTTCGCAAAATCTAAACAACTTCCTTGGAAAGTGAATTTCAAAGATTTGTTTGGTGAAGTTTTAGGTTTTGTCCGATTTGCTTCAAACTTATTTGCAAATTTCTAATTGGCGGAAAACGTTAGTATGAAAGTTCTTTGTTTACCGTCCGCTCAGTTTCAATATCATTTTCCAAGCTTTTTGAAAACATTGATTTTATTACATACGTACCACGGGCAGTAAAATAGTAAAAATAGTTGCGTTTTAATGAATATACATACATACATTTATACATATGCCAGCGGGTCTTCCCGGCTTTGTCTTGGACGTATTTAAATCCCATACTAACGATGGGAGCGGGCCTCATTTAATGATTTTGTGCAAATGCACATATGTGACAGGTGAAAGCATTTTCAACCATCAAATGTATATATTCTTGGTCAGTATCAATATCCGTCTCTATCCGTTTCTCTGTCGAACTTTCTCTACCCTTAATAAAAACGTTGCGTTTGGGATAACTTCGGGAACTCATTGACCATTCCCAGCTATGAGCAAGGGCATAGCGTGCCGGACAGGCTATACAATCCACATCGGGTCTGGTATTTCCTATCACTATCTCTTTATCCTATCGGCTTAACCATAAATTTCCTTTCTTTATTAATAACTTCTTTCGTGTTTCCCATTTATTGTTTTTTCCTCAATGATACAGAAAACTAAGATTATTTTTCATTTTTACTTAAGAAAACTATTTTCTCTACGAACACCTTCCTTCTTAGCTGTAGGCTAAATAAAACACCTCCATCGGTCGGTCATGCTATTAGAAAATGGTGTGTTTTAATTATTCTTTTAGCATTTAATTTTCATAATTTGATGTATTAAATAGATAGGAAGATACACGTTTTTGTCGACCATTAGGAAATATAATAAAATAAATAAATACGAGCTAGAGTCGTAATATTTTTAACGTAGTATATATTGTTTAAAACCATCGGTAAATAACCCTGTTTATTTGCCATTGAGTCAACTATATTTTTAATAATTGTCACCAAAGCCATTACATTTTGGATGTAGCCTTTGTGCAACTAAACAAATATTCCATACTATAAAATCTACTGTAGAATTCTATCAAGATCGGCTAAGCACAGAAATTATTAAATAAAACCTGTGGTCATATAAGTAACCCACGTGGCAGATAACGCAGAGCTTACGCATTTTCTGTGTACATGTGCACACAAACATTCATATTCGCGCGATCTTTTACTAATTCTATTAATAGCATTGCAATTGCTATAGTATATGTATATGGATGCCGCTAATTAGTTCAGTAAATGATACTATGACGTTGGAGTGTAGATCGAAGGCAAGTAGATGATGGGGTTGATTGATGGTCGGTTGATGGGGGCGAGCTAGGACCCCAATCAATAAATATTTGGATTTTTAAATAATGCTATCTGTTATATCCTTTACCCACGAGATAGCGAAAGCTGTATCTGGTTGCGTGTGTCTAAATATGCACCCATTTATGAACAAAAATAATAAGAGATTGGAATTGTTTTACTTTTGTATATTCTAAATCCATAACTCGTCTTGCTTACACGAAATCAATAACAATAGATTTTCAACTCGAAGCCTGAAAAAAAACGATGTTTACGTCTGTCAGAAATGAAGTACTTTCTTCATACCTTTTTACATTCCTTTTAAAATGAAAAAGATCCCATAAAGGCCGGGGGTTTGGTAACTACATCCATTTAGGTGCAATACAGGCCCCAAACAATTAATAAATATCGGACTGCAAACAACGAAGTTATTTCAGAATAAAACAGATACTAAATATGTATTTGACTTTATTCCTGCATGTATGAAGCTCGCCAAGGATCATCTTTATACAGTTTATATTTTCCGAGATTGACGCGTTCATGTATTTAGACGGATACAAGTAGACTAACTCAGCCCTTCGACCTGATTAAAATGATACACTGACCAGCATATGTTGTGATTATTTATTTATAGGTTACAAGGGTCGGAAGTACCATCCTTTGCATGTCCCAAAATCATTATTTATTTTGACAACAAAGTAATAAATTCAAAAGTGAATAGAAAAACTATATAAATTGTGTCGCATATGAGCAACTGATTAGCGTGATTTCGGCAACAGTAGAACAGTCAAATACGGGTATATTGACTACAGATTTGAAATTCTTCTTGGTTTCTTGCGTTCAGCAGCACTAGTTACTTTCAAATAGGGTACTGTCTTTCCTTAATTATTTCTTGTTGTTATAGTTACGTTATGTATATAGAAATAATTATAATGATAATTTGTTCTCTTCTTTTTTTTGCAGAGTTCATATCAAAGCAATTGAATCAAGGTCATATCACGGCTTAAAGCCTTATAAGCGATACAGAGGAACTCGAGACTACAGCGATACCCTAGTCAACGTCTAATAAATATATGTATATACATTTATGTACATATATGTTTGTACTAACTCTATAGTTAGTCTAATTAGAAAGAAGTAACAGTAACATAAACCACTCCTAACCCACCGTACATATCACAAACCAATCCAAACCTCCACTAGCCGGGCCTTATGAGTGCGTTCTAATAAAGTTGATTAACTTAAATAATGCACATTCGATAAGATCGATGTTACCAAAAAAATTGATGTCTCTCCATGATATTCCCAAGCGAAAAGAAAAAAGAACTATGGCGTTATGCGTCAAGAAACAATCCGGCTACGTGCGATGCGGATGGGACACCGATACCCACGCAGCAACTACAGCCGCTTCACCCTCCACATCAACGCCACCTTCAAACATGCGCCAGCTGCTGCTGCTGTGCGGATCAGTCTTCGGTGATGCGGCAGCTGAACAGCCCCCCGCCACCATACTGTTCAATACCCTGCTCCATAGACTGCTCAGGCTCTTATCATCTCATCCACTGTCACCAGCATCCAACACTGGACCAGCAGCCACCTTCGTACCGCACAGATGGGGAAGCAGACATGTCCGTGTCCGCCTCGGCGACAGAGGAATCGGACTATTCCTTTATCAAAGATGGATACAGCTACGCAAGCTCTGGCGAAGATATGTTGAGCGACGAAAACGGACCTTGTGGGGTGCTGGTGCCTCCGTGTTCCAATGCACACCCATCGACTCCCGCGGCGACCTTTGCGATGACAGCGGCGAACATGTTTCGCAACTGCTGCGGGGGCGGCGACGCGACAGAATCCAGCAGTGGATTCTTTTCGAAAACGACCCCGCCCGACAACAGATGCCACTTCCTGAGCCGTCAGCACACATCCACTCCCACCTGCCCAATGCTACCCCACTCAACAGCGTTGTCCGCAGGTGGAGCAGTAATGACTGCAACTTTTCGCCACCGTACACCGAATCAGATCTTCAATGCGCTGCTGAAAAAGCTCAAGAACAAGCAGATAGCCGAGCTACTTCAGGCAGTAAAAAGTCGCGTGGACCCACCTCACAAGCGCGACTCGCTTGCGGCCAACCGGGCTCTCATATCCACCTCCCCGAGCTACTTGCAGTGCATTCTGATCAAGTGCACTTCGCCCATGGACGAGCTGCAGCACGTAACCACGTGCCAGCTTTTTTTTTGGTCCGACCTCAGGGATGCCAAAGAGCTAAGGCGCCTGCCCACTTGCCCCAGTGCGCTGGATTCCGTCTACATCTGCTGCAACCCACTGCACTGGTATCGCATACACCTCCCAATCGATACAGGTAAGTCATGTTGGAAAATGCTACATGCATATTTTATTTATAGCTCCAATTGAATTTACATAGTACAATGTAAGTTTCGGCAGCTTGGAGTTTTTTCAGGATATCGTCAGTCGGCACACTATGTTAACCTATTTAATTCCTTAAGCCTAATTTATATCGTATTTTCCATAAGTTTCTTTCGTGAGTCGTGTTGAAAGAATTATATCGAGCTTATAATTTTTCAATACATCCTCGCATTTGAATAATTACGATTTTTAGACTTAGTTTTTTTAAGTGTAACCTGGAAATAGGAAGAGCTTAATACCAAATGTGGTTTGTAGGCTCGTTATAGTAAACACTAATGGAGAATATTTCGTTTCATTTCATTTTTGGATAAATACTAAATACCTATTAATATTGTCTACATGTATATACATAAATTGGCGGGTATTGCCCGGCCTTGTCCGTGAAACATTTTGTGCTACAAATTTTAGATATTATCTTTCAACTTAGTACAGGCCCGTATCAAAAAAGTTCTGATAATGATCTTTGAAAATGAGTTTAAAACCGATAATAAGCCAGCAATTCTGGTTAAGTTTTTTCGCCAAATTTTCACGGTTCATTAAGTTTTTATGAAGAGCTTTGAAAATAATATTGCTGCAAATCGGAAACAACTTAAAATTTCAACAAAAAAATCTTAGAATCGCACTTTTTACTGAGAATACTTTGATTATGCGAAAAATCTGAAAAGTCTTAAATGATTCTTCATATAGATCTTTGGATTTGAAAATAAATTTGAACACATATCATTACCCACCAAATATTTGAACCCCATTTCCAACATGGAGGAAAGGTTTTTTAAAAAGTGCGAAACAACCATCTAATGAATTTTGACAAAAATCTTTAAAAATGTTTTTTAAGCCGATCGGATGGCGACCAGAAACGTTCATACAAAGCTTTGACTTTGCGAAAAATGTCAAACATGTCTCGAATAGTTTTTTATATAAATCCTTCTAATTGAATTTGATCGCGAAACGTCACCACCCAAATCTTGGACCCCATTTCTACCCAGGAGGAGATTCATACAATCTATTTCGCGATTCCCCACTTGCGTGTGGAATTTCCCGAAACCCCGTCTTAACGTGCACTTACATCACATTAGGTAGCTACAGTGAAAACTTCAGCTTTCTAGCTCTTACGGTATGGGCTGTGCGTTGTCAGTCAATCAATCTTTGTCCTGACTGACTGAATGATTGACTGACTGACTGATTGGTTATCAACGCTCAGCCCAAACCGACTACGAGATATGTATTATTAGTCGGAAATACCTTTATGTTCTTCTAAAAGGAAATAAACATATTCATGAAATGTGTGATTCTTGAAAAATATGTAAGTCACTCCATAAAGAACTCGTACACCTTAAGGCAATATTATCATGATCGGATGATGATCAGAATTGATCTCGACCTCAGAGAATATTATAACTAAAACTCTATAGTTTGTTAAGTTAAGTTTTCGTATCCCATACAGGAACAGGTTTGATTGGAGGGTTTCTACTCAATCACGATAAATTAGATCTGATTTGTATTTGCTTTATTTTAATTACTTGTGCTCAATGTGTATAACCTTATCAGATTCGTAGAGCTTAATTCAGTTTGGTAGATACGGAGACATATGCAGACATGCATATACACACATATACATGTATTTTATGCTGTGTAACATAAGCACAATTACTATTAAAACTAAATACTGTTCGTTTTTTGGTAACAACCATTGTACTTTTTGCCTTTAAAGTGCATGTTCAAAAAAATAAATAACGAGCATCTCCCTGATACACGCTGGTAAGGTAAACATGCCTTTGGAAGTATTAAAGCATGGTTCGTGCCGCATTTACCTGCTCGACTGTAAGGCAGCTGCAGCCGCAGCATCAGCATCTCTCGTTTGGGGTCTGTTGTCGGTGAATCAACTTCCCGATACTGACTGGGACAGGTTTCTTTTTTTTCAATGATGGCGCCGAGCCCGTTGAACAAGACGCTAATGTAGTTCCTTCCACATCGGCCAAGGGAGCACAGTTCCTGGAATTGTAGCGAAAGCGCTGCAGCTACATAGATCGGGACATACTAAAGAATTTGAGTATATGTATCTGCTGCTTATCTACACAAAATAGAATGTCCGTTCGCCAGACAGTTCTGACAAAAAAAAAAAACGTTTTTGCAGAAGTTCTACCTCTCTTAATAAACCATGTACTAATGTTTAATGCTTTTAAATGATTGACTGGAGATACTCAGTAGAAACATTGTCATTCCTTATGCAAACCAAAAATAAAATTGTATATTGTATATTAACATATAGTCAAGATATCTAGATTAGAACATTCTTGGTTGATTCTTAAATATATATATATATTTTATTTTTGTGGAAACAATCCAATCAATCAAACAAATGTCGATGGCGGCGAGGCAAGCAAAAATCACTTGCTTTTTTAGACAGTCAGACACGCCACGCCACGCCGCTTCTTTGGGGCGATTAAGGCAATGTTGGAATTTTACTGCTCCCTTCGCCTTTGCCTTCGCCTTGGCTTCGCGTTTTCATTGGGAATCGTTCGTAGAATCGTTCGTTCACGCGGCGGAGGCGGCGTGGCGGCAGCAGCGGCAACAGCGGCCAAACGTAATCAGGTTTAACTGGTACCCGGGCTAACTAAGTCGACGGCGCCGTTGCCGCTTCTAGCACTGCTGACGTCTGCAGCGCCAGCTTCCTCCGCTCCCAGCGGCGAATGCCGCACATCAAACGATTTGTGCGCCAATAAAATGTCCCCCAGTGCTGCTGGCTGATATGCAAACATTATTTATTTTATTTATTTATTTTTATTTAGCCGCGCTGATGTTTGGCCTGGCCTGGCTCAAGTTTGTTGCTGTGTTTATGCCCATAAAATGGGGAAATTGGGTATATATGCTTGTGCAGCTGTGTCTGGTCGGCGCATCAATAGTTGATCCGATAAAGTCAGATCCGTCTGGTTGGCAGTCCAGCCGTTTTTTGTGGACACACTAATTCCAACATTTTAGTCATAATATATGTATTATTGTTTCAATTATTTATTTTTGGAATCATCTTTATGTGTGAGTACAGGGTATCTCTTAGTAGAGCTCTCTCAAACACTTCTACTTGTTTTCTTTTCTGATTTTGTTGTTTTTGTTTCTGTTTCGGGTTGGCTTTGCTTTGGTTTTTGTAGTATGTACGTGCACATGTATGTATGTATGTATGTATGTGCATGTATTCTCGAATACTAATATTGTACTATTTCTGTGAAGCATGATCTCATCGTACAGCTTGTCTTAAACACGCGCATTTCAACCCGTAGTCTTGGTTAGCTCTCCAAACTATTTACAATTAATAGACCATGATCTTTATTTATTGAGCCTTTGTTGTTCAATAAGGACACTACACTTAGGTATGTGGGACGGTAGATAGTAGGCCGGATAGGACCACAATATTATGTTATTGTTAAAAATTCTTTATTGCCTTCATGATATATAAAGCGCTGCCTTTACAATAATATCTTCAACAAGTTATTGACGAAGATTAATAAGCCGGAAATATTGTACTACTAAGGACATATCTTCACCATGCCAATGACATTCGATCTTTAGTTCTCCATGGTAGTTCTAACCGCTGCATTCCCGACTGGACCAGTCCAAGTTGTTAAGTTGAAAATGCATTGCAAAACGCGAGCGAAGAGGGCCGCGATGTCTCTCGCTGTCATAAAAAAAACGTGATTTTGTGACATATCTTGGGATTGTACCCTGTAGCACCCATTGGGTTAGTACTAATAGAAATTTCTGGAAACCTGTTATAAAACAGCTTCTTTTGCCCAACTTTTGTCCAACTTTTGACATTTGAGGCTGAAACTTGCTGATGCCGTCAAAATAATTTAGTTGCGGCACATGCTATTTGATTAATTGAAGCATTTAATACCCATTATGAAAAATATATGGTTTTAAAAGGTATGTTTATAATAATGCAAGAGTTATCCTCAAAATGGCATGCAATGCTTGCAACGTACGATTATAGTTATAAACCATTGGCCATGTCTACCTGTCCTGTTATGTATGAACGCGTCGATCTCAAAGGCAATTTAGGCTAGAGATCTAAAATATTGAGCATAGCTTCTTCCGATTAGATCAATCTTACAATGTTGTACTACGAAGTCTCTGAGATCGAAACCTTTATACAATCGGATAGACGAACGGAAAGACTTTTGCATATGAGTAATGCCTGTATGTTGACGGTTTTTTTCTGGATAAATTATACACAGATAAGGGAAAAGTCACTATCTTGATGCATCCTCGTTCCCCCTAATATGAGAATTGATTTTCAAATGTACAAGCTTGTGCGTTGGTAAGATATTTATACTTTTATATGTGAATGAGAATATGGGAATGCAGATCCCATACATAGTGCGTACAAAATTAAGAAAAAACACAGACGGTGCATAAGGTGCGCAACTACGAGATGTGTTTGGGGGAATTTGTGTGTTTTTGTTTGTGTGTGTATAAAAAGAAGCTTAAATGTCTGTAATGCTGGACATTCATCGGTCTTATAGTGTTAGTGCTTAAATTTATTTAAAGATACAGTACAAATACATAACATATTTACTTTATTAAACATTTTCCATTAAAAAAACAGTTATGCATTCGTTTGTTAGTTTGAGAAGAAATGTATTTAATGGTAATTATTATTAATCAATTTACTAATGCGCAGACGCATAAACCTTTTAGAAAACTACATATATGCATGCTAGAAGACTCAAAGAAGACGTCGGGCAAACGCTAAAAACAACTGAGACTAAAAAAGCAAAAAAATGACTGGATGCACTGGGGAAATTTCTTAAAACAAAATGCAAAAATTAATTTACAAACATACAATAAAAAATATTAATAAATAAATGTATGTCTTTTGATATCTATAATATTAATATGTTGTACTATGTAAGAAATGGGTGCAGTATTCGGTTGTCTAGTCCCTGTATAAGAACGATATAAAGACCTTTTGTTGTTGCAACTGTAGCTTCTGTATGAAAATATGCAAAGTTACACTGGGTTGTCAGATAAGGCTATTAATAAAGCTGCTGGAAATTATTTTGGGGCAAACTATAAGGTTAGTGGTATCGACAACGCTGACGCCTCTACTAGCCAACAGGTATCCAACGTTCCGTGTCTTGATTTAACTCATTTGTAATGGTTTGGTCGACCTGTCTCTGTCACAGGGAGTCGGTAAGTTATAGACCCACCGACTCACTCGGATAGCAGTAGTGACAGCGCAGCACGTTGCCCATTGAAAGGAATATGTTATGTAATGCTGAGGAAACTAGCCCTTGCCTCCATTAGGCCTGATGTTTAAAGTGTACATACACAACATAACTAATTCATTTCCTATTATTTCATTATTATTAAAACTATTTTCATACTTTCAAAATTAAAAAAAAATTGTAATTTTGACTTTAGCGCTAAGCTTACCGCCTCTATAATCAATTTAAACATTTGTGTGTTAACTAGTATTTCATGTCGAGACTTGGTCCGCGGGATTTTAGCTTATGCCGGAAAAATGTTCGCCCCACTTCTGTGCATCGCCTATCCCTCCCGCGATTGCCTATCAAAGCATTTCTAAATGCCCCTTCGATTGGGTTTTGCTGGTATAATGTTGAATTGATTGTGTAATTCGCTCCAACTTCGAAAGAATATAAATATACCGCACCGCTCGAATAGCAAGCTATGCATTCTATGCATTCGCCATACTCCAATCACAATCAACTAAGTGAACGCTTGCTAAGAAATTCATTGCTGCTCTTGTTTCTCATAGTAAATTTCCATTTTATAATTGACCCGTCTCAATTGAACAAAAGAAATCGTTTTTTTTTAATTTATTAAAAAATCATATTTTTTAAGTATCAGTCCAAAATATAAAGCATTTTGTCTTCTTACTGGTTTGAAACCTAATTCTCCATATGACGGGGATAAGACAGTTGAGTTGACAAAAGAAACATTTATGTTATTATTTTAATTTCCCACTTATTTTCCATTTTTGTTGTTCTAAATTTATTGTTATTGTTACTCTGTGAATAATCACATAATTAAATAAAATATACAAATTGACATAAGCTGGTGGAGTTGAACCAACGTCCTCTCCCTGGTAGCCCGACGCTAAGACACCTAAGCCACACAAAATGAAGAACACAATTATATGACTGTGTTGTTTTTGATACTTACCATAAAAAGCATCGAAGGAAGCTTCACTAGTCGTTCAGTTAGGCGATCAGGATATAGATATAGATATAGATATAGATATAGATATAGATATAGATATAGATATAGATATAGATATAGATATAGATATAGATATAGATAGATATAGATATAGATATAGATATAGATATAGATATAGATATAGATATAGATATAGATATAGATATAGATATAGATATAGATATAGATATAGATATAGATATAGATATAGATATAGATATAGATATAGATATAGATATAGATATAGATATAGATATAGATATAGATATAGGGTACCTGCTCTACGCGTGGTCCCCCCGAATAGAAAATAAATATACATAACATCTGTGTATATCTAGCAGGATATTAAAAACTTTTTTTCATTTGCACTTTCAGAATCCGCACTCCCGCCGTATCATCGATCAAAAATGTTGAGACTAAGAGATAAAGGTATGTAAATGTGCTTCTATCTAGGGTACTGAACTGATCAGAGTTCCACAATCCTAGATACTGAGGAAAGCTCTCAAAACAACGAAAGGCTGTCAGTGGCAGCGTGGGGCGTGCAGGGCAACAATAACACCAAACAAATGGAATCGCAGTTGTATGTCCCGAGAATCGAGTCTTTTACCACAGATGGAAAAGGTGAGTTTGTAGCCATGCCGCAGTCGGAACGTGGCCTCTTCTGGCTCTTTTCCTTATCTTTGGAGCGGCTTTATTAAGCATTCAGCGATATAGCAAGCACCTCTCTTTCTTTAGGTGCTCATTTTTGTATGTATGTGCATTGAAAACATACAGATGTATGTGTGTATATACACACAACACACATATGTATATATTTGTGTTTATGTACAATGTGTGTATACATGTTTCTGCATGTGTGAAGAGAATGTGTGAGAGCTACGGCAGCGGTCGCGTGCGTGTGTTTGAGCACGCCGGCACGGGCCGAGCCAGGCAGTCAAGTTGTTCGTGGCGCCAGTTTGCCGCGTCAGGTCGTCACTTTCTATATTGATATTAACTTTTAAACGAAAACAGCAAAAACAACACGAATATAAATAATGAGCGCAAAACAAATACAAATAGTGCGAGGCGAATGCGAATAAGTGTGGCGGCAGTGACGACGTCGGCGTCGACTTCGAGAGCGATGGCAGCAGCAGAAATCTTGGTCGCTTGCTTACGACAGCTTTGTGGAGCAGCGCGGGTTGCGGGAGTGTCAATGGCTTGGCTATGGCTGGTTATCGCCACCACCAGCTGCACAGCGGGAGGGTGATCGGAGGTAGTGGCGTTATGACAATGATATCATTCATGGCGCTGCCGCTAACGCCTTCGTGGAACTGGACAGTTTCTTGTTCTCTCTTTTTCTATACTCGGTTTAAATGGGTAAATAGTTACGTGAAAATGTATGTAACAGGCAGAAGGGTGCATCTTGGTCCCCATAAAGAATGTACATATTGTTAATCAGGAACACGAGCTGAGTCAGTCCACCCATGTCCATCTGTATGAGCGTATAGAACTCGGAAGAAAAACCAATCGGCTAAGAATTCTAAAAATATGTATGTATTTTTAATGAATGCTCGTATATTTCGTAGAACGAGTTTATTATTTTAGTCGAGATCTCCAATTTTGAAAGCTAGAGCCTTGTCCTTTGGTATTGACACGCATTTCGCTACCATATCTATGGCCTGAAAACTTCATAACAAGTTTATATACATCCCGGCTAGAGCGATGCCTTGTTAAGGGATAAAAGTTGCCGAACTGATTTTCCGGCGAATGATCCGATCCGACAATCAGTCGAAAAATGAGTTGTTGTATGAAACTATTTTGTGGTTTTCAAGATACATTTACTAAATTATTACGACCTTCACAATTTGCCACAAATCTCATATCTGAAAATCAGTAAGCCAAATGTCTGAAAGAGTATTTAATGTTCAACGAGTCAGTATTTTTCGTTCTAAAAATATTTAGGAATTCAGATGTTCGTAAATATCTGTGGACATATTTATGTATGACCTATACTGCATGCGTTATTAGAACGGTGCGGAAAATTATAACAACGTTATCTATGTTGTTATACCCTTGCAGAGGGTATTATAATTTTGTCGTGAAATGTGTAATGCATAGAAGGAGCCATCTCCGACCTCATAAAGTATATATATTCTTGATCAGCATTACCAGCCGAGTCGATAGAGCCATGTCCGTCTGTCTGTTTCTATGCGAACTAGTCTCTCAGTTTTAAAGCTATCTCAATGAAACTTTGCAGAAGTCCCTCTTTCTGTTGCACTCAGCACATATGTCAAAACCAACTGGATTGGACCACTATATCATATAGCTGCAATAGGTCGAAAACTAGGTTTTCGTTTAAAAACCTTTTTTGTTTATCAAGATATCTTGCCTAAACTCGGCATTAACTATTTTCCCTGTGCTTCTTAGATACGGGCAAAGCGCTAAAAGCATTATGAAAAGGTTGGGTCTGCAAGGGTATTAGATCTTCGGCGTGCCGCATTTATGCAGCGCTTCCTCTTGCCTTACACTATGCGAAATTTATTCTTGAATAGCTTTGATGTTTAGAAATCGATCTTTAAGAAACTTGTGTGTACACTAATCGCACTTATAAGAATATACAGTTAAATATGTGTAAGCATAATACACTCTACACATAAAGTATCGTGTATGTCGCCCTTATGAGTATCTAGCTTTTGTACTTTCGATCAGAGATGTCGCGTTCTGCCTGTTACATTCATTTGCTCAAAAGCATTATTAATTTGTTCCCATTTTCAAAGAGGTTCAAAGTATATATACCTGTATAGATGCGTATGGTAAGACAAATATGTACCCGTGATTATTTATGTACATGTTTAACATGTATTTACTTACAATACCGACATGTGTGGTCACTAACCAATTTACACTGCGCGCACACACACACACACATAGATAGATTTTAAAACATTCTAAATTTAAAGATGATGTAGTAGCTCGTCGATGCGCACTTCTGTTTGTAATTATGTATTTATGTGTAGCTACGTGAATGTACATACCGACGCATGCAGATTGACTGAAAAATACAAAACAACGCCTAGCCGGCGCTATGAATCCCAAAGAGTCAAATACGAGATCCCGAAAATACCGCTCCTCGATGGCGGTTGCCCGAGCAGGCGGCATCGGCGCCAGAGCCGATTGCAGCGCCCCACCGAGTCCGTGCACTCCCGTCTCGCCATCATAGCTGAGTTGCAAAAGCTATACAGCGTATGCCGTACATTACATTTGATTATTTGTACACAACATACACACTTTAGTATGCACATTAATAGCATTCTATAGTACAGTGTGCATATCTACTTGTTCAGATACATACATATGTACAAATGTGCAGTTGCACGCATGCATCTTTATAAGAAGATAGTGTACACGTGTATTATTGAGTAGTTATTCCATTATTCTTGTTTATTGTTATTTGATTTCATATCAAATCATGGAAAATAGAAAGAAATGCCCTCTTCGGCACGCCGAAAATTAAACACACTTGTAGAATTCATATTATTTCGATAAGACTTATATGTGAGGAGCCTGGTGAAACCAAAAATGTCGAGTTTGGTCAGATATCTTGATTAATAAAAAAGGGTTTTTCATAAAAGAAACTACTTCAGCCCATCCGATCATTCCCATAACATCTATATGACGTTTGTCGTTTAGTCGTTTGATTCGACGACTTCCGATATTTGAACTGTTTGTAAAGAAAGACGGACCTAGGCTTAATTTCATGTCAAGGGTGTGTTTGGTTCAGATACATAAAAAATCGTATTTCTTTTTATACATGGAATCTATTGATCCCATGGATAAAAAGAGTATAATGGTTTTGTGTAAATGTATACAATAGCCAGAAGAAAGCTTCTCCGATCCCAGGAGCCTTAAAATGTGAAGTAGTTTTGTCCTAGTTTAAGTGATGAGCGCGTTTATTTCGATCGAAAACTTTCCCAGTTTGTATACAATCGATACAAATCAATATAGAGCTTATCTCGTGACATTTAGTTTCACGTATAGCATACGAAGAGTTAAATTCCAACAGATTGAATTAGTTTTTTTTAAATTGTAGATAGTAGAAGTGGGCTTTTGCATAGCACAATTTTATGATTGTTTTTTGTTTTTATGTTTCTTATATGAACTTTGACCGCCGCTTTTCTCCACTTGTTTTCCAATCCGTACTAACTTAAAAACCGTTATATCGAAAGTTATATTTTATATAGCTGTTTAATATTTATATAGAAGTCCAACGATTAAAGTAGCTAATGTTGCTGCATCCGCCCAGTTTCCAAAAGGGTGCTCAATCTTAGACGTACCGAAGATAGCCGACTCCTCGTGCTATACACCTGGTCATTCAAACGCTTACTCAATGACAGATTGTCGAATAAGTAACAAATTAAAAACTATCGTGTTATTAGTTGGTTAAAATGCTTCTTTAGACGATAAACAGATGTTAAAATAATATAAAAAATATAAATATTGCTTGAACAACTTCATGGTCTACACCAAATACAACAAATACTGGTTTCGTCAATACAGTTAATGCAGCTTACTTAATATGTATTTTCTTTATTGAGAAATGCCTAGAATTTGGTCGCTATGCTCGTTGTGCTTTTAGCCAGCCGTATTATAGGCATCCGCAAGCCAAAAGGCACCGGCGGCACGTTTACGTAACGATGTGGCGCCAAAATTATTGCCATTAAAAGACTATATAAATAACTGCATTGGTATCTGTGGATGAGATTGATCGAGTGATGAGATTGAGGCACGGTTGAATTCGAATCGTATACGAGAGCCTTTGCCGCTCGATTAGATCTGCATGCGCTCTGCATGATAAAATGTAAAATTTTACATTATCATTTCACCCTTGTTCAAAAATTGGCCAAGTTGTATGAAACGCAATTAGTTCGGATTGTTTGGTTTAGTTAAATATGACGTAAGAACAGGTTAGATTGGTGTGCTCGCGATTAAAAAACCTTGCAACCTATATATCAGATGTTCGGTATATTTATTTTTATTTGGAATATTACTTGTTCGCATAGAAATATGACAATAGGACTGAGCTGTGTCGACTCAGCTGTTGATGTAGCTCAAGAATATACTTTATTAGGTCGGAGATGTCTCGTTCTATTCGTTACAAATTTCATGACAAAATTATCTTATCTCTACAAATGGTAAACTAACAACATTTTTACAACCGTTTTCCGGCAATTTAGCATAGTTGCAGGTGAAACTTTCAAAATCTGTAAAATACCTATTATTTAAGTTTTTATGTCGGGCCTTACAAATTTAATTAGAAATTGCTCAAAAAAAAAACGCAACTGTGAAACACCACTCAAATAAAATGAAACAAGGCACTTTGACGATGATTTTAAGGTCTATTGGATGGTAAATAACAAATTTTCACACAACCCTTTTTTGTTCTTTATCCACATCTTGCATCCTGTCTTAGCCTGCAGTTTTGGCTGTAAACACAAGTCAGTGAGTCAGGCCAAAGGTTTTATATACAGAGATGTGTCAAACATACCCTATCTGTGTGGCCATAGTCGAACCAAATAAATTAAAACCAAATTTGGTTCAACTTGATTTTTGATTGATTGATTTAATATTTTAAGTAAATTCCATATATATGCCTCTATATTCGAATGCACACCCTATAAAACTCGGCAGGGCTTTTCAATGTTTACAAATCTCATAAAATGCCTTTTATTCTCTAGATAGAGAACTAACAAAAAGTTATGCTCTATCAATTTTAGATCGAAACGCCACCAACTGGGTATGGTGTCAGATTGCCTATTGGGAACTGGCCCAGCGCGTTGGTGATCTGTTTCACGCCAGGAAGTCAGCAGTCAATATATACGCTGATGGACCAGTCGACTGCGCCGGAGAGAGCATGTGTTTGCGTGAATTGAGTGGGAAGAGGAGACCGCTGGATACTGTGCAAAGCACGCGTCAAAAGGTTGGTCTAGGTAAGTACCAATAGTGGGTAATTAACTAAATATGCAAATATAACTGAAATTTGATGTTATAGGCTTAACTCTAAGTCTGGAGTATGGTGACGTGTGGATCTATAATCGCAGTAATGTGCCGTTATTCGTGGACTCGCCAACGCTGGCCGAACGCTTGGACCGGGTTTGCAAAGTGATGCCTGGCTATTGTCTCAAGGCCTTCGAAACACAAAAGTAAATTATTTTGGTAGATGCGTTGTTTAATACAATCATTATTAACTTATATCCCATTTAGCAGGGCTCAATGGCTGGCTGAAAAGCAGTCGCAGCAGACCCATCTGGGACCCATCGACCGATTTAGCATGAAGATCAGCTTTGCCAAGGGCTGGGGTAACATGTACAGGCGGCAGGACGTTATGGGCTGCCCCTGCTGGCTTGAAGTTCACTTTAACCATCTGCGGTGACAGTTTCAGCTTCCGGTGGGCACCAATTGCTTTACGGCAGCGGCAGCGCTATGTTTAACTGGGATAGTCTGCACTAATCCAATGTGCTGTAGGCCACATGTGCTCCACCGGTTGCGACAGCTCCTTCAAATAGTTCAAAAACGGATTTCGGGACTACGCAGTAAAGCAAGTATACTGAGACTACAAGCAATTGTTACAAAGAGTTTTAAATTGCGCCAACTGGACTAGCAAACAACTAATAAGTTGGGGCAACAATGGACTGCAAATTATATACTTTTAAAAGTTTAACTCAATTATGGAAAATGTTTTAATAAATGCTATATCGAAATTAACTTATGGATAAAGCATGCGCAGCAACGGAGTTAGAAGTGTTAAATTCAAATAGTAATTGATTGTTAAACATAGCTAAAAATAAAATCCTGTGATTCACTGTATATGTACATTTGCATATGTATGAAGTATGTATGAATTACAATCTAAAATATGTAGGAACGTAGCAAACTATAACTCGTTAAGAGTAACAATTTCTGATTTATGTACAAATACTTAATTCATGTACATATGTTAGTATGCATAGTCTATACATGTCGCTCATTCACTTGAAGACTGTCATAAGTCACAAAATGCGACTATCATGTATATATTGTACAAAATTCTTATTTATATCTTGTATACTCTTCAATTGAGAAGATGTTTATTTAAAATGTTTTCTGCAAGGCGGTACTCAATGGAAAATATTTAACGTATTTTCTGAAAAATCGTATATTTGTTTAAGTTTTGACAGTAGTCAAGTAAATGAGTGATATGTTCTTAACAATGAATGAAAGGAATGAAATACAGAGGTGCACATTTCAATAATAGCGGAAGATATACATACAGGCATTTGACCATCACAATAGTAATGGCTTATGATGGTTTTCGCATTCACATCATTTTTTTTAGTGGGAACTCAAAATACAAATTATCTTTTTTTTTTATTTTTTTGATAATATTCTAACGTAACCCTCAGGCATAAATAGACTATTAGCCATTTAGTAATTTTTTGAATCAAAATATTTTGCTCAAGCATTTTTATGTTGATGTCTTAAACAATTGCTTAACTTTCGCTGAATTTTGTAAATGTTATAATTCGCGTTTTAGTTTTCATCGAGCCCTTAACACCATACTCAGTTGCCTTTCAATGTGACGGAAACGCAAATTTGAGCACGCGTAAGGCATTTTATACTACACATTCTTAAAATAAATTCTTTATTTGGTTTTTGTCATGTTCAATTAAAATTTCGCCCACTGTAGATAATGTTGCGGTCCCAATTCCCCCACAAAACCATGAGCCTTCAGTAAGTGTCTGCACATACATACATACATATGTATACATGTACATTTTAATTCCAAAAATATATTATTGTAATACCTATACGCCCTTTTATGAAAACATAAGTACATACGAGTTAATAGTAAAAAACTAATTTTAAAAACTGCTTGGACTTCAGTCATTTTGAATTTATCATATATACATTCATACATGCTTATATATGTATCCTTGTATATACTTCAGTATCTTCGAAATGATCAAATATTTAAGCATCGTTAATAGTTGTAGTTTTACTGTTATGTTTTAAGAAATATTTTGTAATAAAATTTCAATATATTTACAGATTTTGATTTTTCACTGTCATCTTTGTATTTGCTATCCACTCAATGTTACTCAATGCCATAATTAATATTAAAAGAGTTTGTAATTCATTTTATTTTAATATATTATTTATATAATTTACTATTTCAATATTTAAGTGCTTAAAGATAGCTTCTTTTAGCACAGTCACAAATATTAAAATTATGAAAAAAAAAGTTGCATATTTTTTCTTACAACTCGATAACAATTATTATTAGTTTAAAAACCACCGTTTAAGATTTACAATTATATTGAACGGTTTTAGGGAAACAATCTAAGCTTGTATGTATTATACTACAGGGTGTTTCTAGCCGCAACAAGTACTTATACCATAAACCACGTTAAGACGGGGTTTCGGAAAATTACAGCCGCAAGTGAGGAAAAAACGCGCAAAACGTTTATATGAAACTTCGTTGTTTACCATCCGATCGGCCACAAACAATTGTTTAAACATTTTTGTCAAAATTAATCTGATGGAAAATCCCTCCATATCCAAGGATCTATATAAAAATTCATTTGAGGCGAATTTCACATTTTTCGTAAAATCAAAGCTTCTTCGTGGGAAAGTGCGTTTCAAAGTTTTTTTTTGTGAATTTTAAGTTTTATCCGATTTGCATCAAACTTATTTTCCAAGCTCTACATAAGAATATAATGAACACGCGTTGAAGCGATTTGGATAATTCCACTTACAACAGTGGTAAATTGGCGGAAAACGTTTGTATGAAACAAACATATGCAAATACTAATTTAAGTAACAAAATTAGTTTTTTCGGCATCCAAACCCACTGCAGGGAATAACTACACATCCGTAATTTTCAAAATATCAAGCTGCATAATAGCATTTTGTTGTATGGCGTTAATCATCTTAGTGTTTATGTTGTCTTTGGTTAAACGTAGTAAGCAGTAGCTTCCAAAGGTTTTCTACAACGCTGACGTTAGGCTGCCTAGAAAGTAATGGATATTCGGCAGTATGTTCCAGATATTTTTCGCCATTATTAAAACTACTCTTGCATCAAGCATTAAATGTATGTTTAAGTACATTTATGACAGCACTCACTACCCAAGTGATACAATTTTAAAGTCATTGTAAGACTGATTTAATCGGTAATCACACTGTGAAAAAAATATCCTACTTTAACTTTAATTTCTTAATTGCAGTTGGGTCAGCTTTGTATCATGATGGAATATTGAATTGAAAAATAACACAGTGGATCAAAAAGGGTTTCAATGCATTTGTATAAAAAGTGCTAATAACGAAATCGAAATGTTGATTTGATCAAATTCAGTAAATATAAATTTTTTATTGTTGTAAACACGTTTTTATAGTTTAATCATTCAAAAACATAATCCTGGTCGAAGTCGCATTTATCAGCATTAGTTGATGACGAACCTAAACTAAAGCTGTCCAAAACGTCGGTTATTTTCGAAATTTTCTTCTCGTTCCGAACATTTTGCTTTTTCTTCTTTTTCTGGAGCTCCTTAATGTTTTTGTTAAGGGATTGATTCTCTGGAAAAAATATTATTTATTATATAGATGACAAGTAAAATAGTGTTTAAAGATATACCCTCTAGAAGCAACACAGGATCTGGTTTATCCTTCTTATTGTCGTCCAATTTTCTCTTGCGACCCTTTAACTGCGTTTCACTTTCTGTTATTTCTGCGGCAGCAATCTGCGTTTCTTCAGGCGTCGACCTCAACTCAAGTGGACCTGTCGACGTTATCTCCATAACATCATCCGATTTCTCAGGACATTGGTTCAGTAAGTCAGTCTCCATAGACTCAAAGTTATGTACGTCAAATTCTCGCGCCTCTGAATGTACAATCGAAGCACTTATATGTACATTTGTATTATCGATTATTTCAGGCGGTTGAGTACAGTATTTGATTTTTCCGGTGTTCCAGTCGTTCAGCACACTACGCGCAGCGGACACAACATCTGGAACGCCCTTTTTTAAAAATTTTCCTGAAAATCAGAACGACATATAATAAATAATGACAATTAACTAAATAAATTGACTGACCCATTCTGGCTGCCTTCTTTGCGAAGAATTCTTCAAAGGTGTCATAGCTGGTAATATCGTACATTTTACAGAAATAATCTTTGCTGGCCCTTTTCAAAACGCTCTCTGCTATGCTAAAAGGATCCTTAACGTCGCCTACACGCTGAGCGTTCTTTAACACGGCGTGCGCGTTTTCGTTTCCCTCGCTGGCAATACTGGTAAAAACAATGCCAGGACAATCAATAAGCTTGATCTTTGAATCAAGCTCAACTTCTTGCATAGCCCTGAAAATAAATAGAAAGTTAGTAACAACTTAATCGGCAATTATGTTTGATATTAACAGTTAGTTAATCATATGTAGTCAATAATTTATCAGCATTTGTCGTTGTTTAGCTGTGAAGATACTTCGTGTAAAAAATGCACTCAATATTTCATGAAATAAACAGAGAGTTTAAAGTTAATCTTTGCATTTGTAGTTGGGGGAGTCATTGATTCTATTTATGTCCAGGCTGCAAACTTACTTTGGACCACACCCTTTCGAATCTAGAATTCCATATTGTTTATCATGAGCCAAACTAAACCAAACCAATTGTTTCAAAATTAAAATTTTTTTAAATTACCCAGCCCCAATGCATAACTTGAGCCCAACATATTCAATAGATTTTGGGTAAGGATTACATTTTTACGTAACTTTTAGGTAATGCAAATTCTATGTATATGGTCTGCAATATATTCAATAAAACGTTTAATTATAAATTGGAAATGTTATTTTGCTGCTACTGAAAATATAGAACCGCAGTTAAACCCCCAGGAGTTTCGTTTTTTTCCTGAATACGAAGTGAAAAGAGAATTTGTATATGGAAGAGAAATAGATAAATAGATTTCTAATTTCAGTGCATAAAATACAGGGCCTATATAAAAATCTTATAGAGAGTATTTTTCTAAGTAATTGCATATTAATCAAAACTTACTTAGTCACTCCAGGAGTGCTTCCAACCATGCATGAACGTCCTCGAGTTAGCGAGTTTATAATAGAGCTCTTGCCCACATTGGGTATGCCAACAACTCCAACGCGTATTGATGTTTTGATGCCCTTATTGCGACAGTAGTTGGCCAGCATAGACATGAGCAACTCAGCTCCAATGCACACCGAACCCTGCATTGCTTTTTCGCTCTTCATGTCGCGTAGTTTCCTTCGTCCCAACTTTGACGCCTGATCTTGCGTGGAGGCTTTAAACGCTGTAACGGGCATGCTGCGCCGAAAGAATTTAATCCAATTGTTAAGATTTTCCCTTGGAACAAGGTCGGCTTTATTCAGAATGAGTACCAGCCGCTTGTTACCAGGCGCAGCGCGCACTGCTCGCTCTACTTCATTGCAACGCGTGCCCAACGGATCCCGTGCATCGACCACTTCCAGAACAACGTCTGCATTCTCAATTACCTTACGAAATTCTTTAAAGTACTGCTTCAGAGATTGTTCCTTGGTGGTGGCGTTCTTGTATTTCTTCTCACTGGAATCAGCAGCATTATTTTCATGCATTATGCCGTGCACAGTGCTCCGCATGTCGGCATTTTCAACCATCGACTCCAGCGACTTGAATTTGTTCTGGTCGCGTTCTGCTTTATAGATTTCCCGGCGGGTTTGCCGCTCATGCTCCTGGCGTTTCTTTGCTTCCTCCACCTCTTTAAGTATGTCATCTTTAAACGGGCATATGTTTGGTATCTGTATCAGTTTTTGCTTTTTACTGCCTTTCTTAGGATTCTTTTTGGCCTCGCGACGTTCCTTTCGGTTGTGTTCGCGTACTTTTTTGTCAATTTTGTGCTTGAGCTTGCCAGTTAAACGCTTTGATTTTTTTGCTAAAAGTGTATTATATTAATATTTTTCTAGTTTTCAACAAACCAAGTGGGACACTAACTCTTTAATCGTTTAAGAGCCATTTTTTAATAATTTCCAGCCTTACTATTGCATCTAAGCACGTGTAAATAAATGTGCTTCTTCTATGCACGCATTCAGTGACCATTCACAAAATCCACAATTACAAAATGTATTAACCAACACTGTAAACTATTTATTAGCGCTGCCAGATAGTTCAGTGTCGTGATGTAATTATACAAAATACCATTGTTGATAATTTATATTCCTTAAATATGTTTATGAAAACCACGGTTTTGGCTGGAATACATTTTTTAAAGAAATGTACAGCAAATGCAGTATCACCAAGAAGCTCGTATATACACACTAGTGCATTTTTAAGAAAATCGGAGGACCGCAAAGAAATGTTGGCCTCCATGCCGGCAAAAGACGAAGGCACCATTGGCGAAAAGTCTGTTGATATTGACACGCTTCTTAACCGGTAAGTGCAGGCACAATAATTGACCTAATTCAATGTAATAAATAATATCTATTTATATCAACAGAAGGGCGAAGTCCTTTCCTGACGCTGGCACCGCCACGCAGCTTTTCAACGGTATTCCCTTTAACGAATTGCCCATCTGTAACATACGCGTGTCGCCTAACAACACAATCATTTCAGTAACGGACTACAAAGGCTAGTTTTGGGATTAATTTCGGCAAAGGCTTAAAAGAGTAATAATTATTATTTATTTGTTCTAGGTGTGCCAAGACTTATTCGATCTTGCGGAGTCGAAGGTTTCAAAAATACCAGAAAAGGGACAAACATAGCAGCACAAGCAACAGCTGTTAGCATAAGCGGGGTAAGATGCAATTTTTTAGCGGTTTCTAATTGTGTGATAATATTTATGCACAACTTCAGAAAGCGGTTGAACTTGGCTGGAAGACAATTAGAGTGAAAGTTCGTGGACTTGGCCCAGGCAGAATGGTAAAATTAGATTACGCTTATAACATACAATTATGTTTATAACATATGTTTAAATGTTTATTGTTACAGTCTGCCATCAAAGGCTTGCAAATGGGCGGCTTAAATATTGTTTCTATTACTGATAACACACCTGTATCCTGGAATCCGCCGCGCCCTAGAAAACAACGTAGTCTTTAATTGAATAGAACCACTATTGAAAATAGACAATATAAACAATATAAAAATAAAATGATTGCTAGCTTGGTCTATTTTATATAATACCCTGAACTCATACAAATTGAGTAGACAGTCTTCACTGTTTTGTGCAAATGTACATAGAGTAAATGAAAGCATTTCCAGCCCACTTATGAAATGAAATTTTGATCGTATGTGCTTCTAAATCAGTTTGTTTGCAATCATTGAAAATTTTCCTTTTTCAGACATCGATATCGAAATCATGTTTTACGAGAACATTTGTTACGTCTTAAGAGCTAGCTTCTCGTTTAGTTTTTAAAATCAAGTATATTGTTTCCCATTCCGCAAATAAGTACATTTTCATTGGAACCAATTTTAGCATAAAAGAACAAGTTGACGGGCACATCTGCAGGTAGTAATTTAGAACTATACTGACTCGATCGAATTCTTCACTTCAGTGCCACGAGCGCCACGGTCGGCGGCGGTAACCTAATCCGTTGCCCTTACCGCAAGAGCAAGAGCAGCGTTATCACTTATGCTGAGTCGGCTTGCCGGCTGTAATTTTGTAGCTTATGCCACAGCTAGTTTGTGGTTTTAGTGTTAGTTCTGTACGAGTACCTTAAGTCTACACTCGACCTATCACTAACATGGGTCCGGAGTTTATCGTAAAAAATAATATTTCATTGCTGAGCCACAAGGCCAGTGTTCTATGCAAGTAAAGTGGAACATCGGCTCACGCTACGATATGCTTTTTTTCTTTCATTTTTATTTAATTATGTAAATTTTTTTTTATACCCGAACTCATTAAAAATGGTCAAAAGGGGTATAATGTTTGTGCAAATGTATGTAAATGGCAGAAGGAATCATCCCCGACCCCATTAAGTATATGTATTCTTAATCAGCATCAACAGCCGAGTCGGTATAGCCATATCCGTCTGTCTGTCCGTACGTCCATCCGCATGTATGAATGCAAGGATATCAGAACCTGTAAGAGTTAGACCTAATTTTCTTCAGAAACTACTGTCGAATGCCTAAATAATGTTTATCTAATATAATAATCTATTTTGTTTATGAATAATATTAAAATTGTAGGTGTTATCTATAATATGCTTACCAACTATAGTGGTACAATTTTCAAATGCAAAAGTACGTACATTCCGTTTATATTTATCCTACTTAATTTAAGCGTTGATATAATGACGTGCAACTAGAGTGTACTAAGACAACTTAAGGCTATGAAAGGCTTTATATTACATTGCATATCCTCGAAAGCATACACACAATCACCTTAGAAACGTTTTTAAATAACATTTTTTGAACTATAAATTGTCGTATGTATGTACAAATGGTTGGCTGGAATGGTTATTGATATGGAATAGAAAGTAAACGTAAATGGAGGATTATTGGATTTACAAAATGGAACTTTTTGGATTCAAAGTACGTTTGGCGGTTCAAATAATTGTCATGATGCTGTTGTGAACTTTTTATATCGCCATTCGAAACTCTTAAGTATTATGTTTTGCATGGCTATACACATAGGGATTAATATGCAACGTCGTCGGGAATTGATTTGATTACTAGGCACGTCGTGTGCTATAGGCATAGAGAACAATGAATGGCAACTGTTAAGATCCTGGTCCGCAAGGATTTTATCAAATCGTCTTATATCTTGCCATCGCCTTGACTTTTTTATATTTTGTTTAGCAGCATATTTAATGCTGCGTAATGTCGTCATAGGATCGTCTATTGCTTTAATGTCCGACTCGCAGTTGTGACAGCCTCTTGCACCATAAGACGCATGAAACTGCATATTGGATGTAATGCCGCAAAAGTCTGAGCTTCTGCCTCCACAAGGATTTTGAGGCGATTCGGTATGCTTTTCATCATTGCTGTCATCCCTCCTTGGCATCACACTTTCTTCGTAGTCCATGAAACTAGTGGCACAGGAAGGCTGATATATAACCGCGGAAGCGTGGCCAGATCGACCAGAGTTTAATGGTGTACCCTGTTCCCATGTGTTTGTGCGTGGATCATAGACTTCAACGATAGAAAGAAAATTGTTGCCGTCAAACCCTCCAATAGCGTACAGCTTGCCATCAAGTGTTGTAAGCGAAAGAGCACTCCGTGCAATTTGTATTGGCGCTACCATATCCCAGGTCTCGTTCTCAGTATCGTATCGTTCTACAGTAGCAAGTTGCCGTGTGCCATCAAAGCCCCCCACGACGTATATGAAGTGATTAATGGCTGCGACACCTAAAATTAAAACATATGGTATTGCATTACAAACTGAAATAATTTAAGAACAAGAAGCTCTAGTCGGGAGCTCCCGACTTATAATAATAACAATAATAATAATTATTATTATAATAATAATAACAATAATAATAATAATTACTATAATAATATTAATAATAATAAAAATAAATATAGTTGGCATTTTCCTAGGTCACGCATCGCGAGTTTCCCTGCCCCACTCGTCCCGCGTAGGCAAAGTAATAATAAAACATACATATATCTCATAGAAGAGATTAGCCGACGTTAACGAATTTACCATACTCGCGCCCAGAACCAAGTGGCATGTCTACTGAGATCTTATCATATCGGACGTTCCTAATACATTTAACGGCCCTGTTGCGGCCCAATCAACAAAGTTAGTAAACAGGTCGCGTCGCTCATATTTATTATCGTTTATATAAATTCTTTTGCCTCAATTAAACCAAAGATACAACTACTTCTTCATACTTGCAGGGCGAATTTTTCAAATCCCCGTCTTAGTACTCACTTTCGACCCTTAACGAACTTTTAGTACAAAAATGAGCTACATATGTAGCAAAAATGGATTTGGCTGGACAATGATCAGAGTACAGTCAGCCAGTCAGGACAAACTCTTTGATATATGTAAATAAGGTAAAGATTTTACCTGCTCCGCTACGGCCAGTATTGAGGGACGGCAAATAGCTCCATTCATTGTTTTCCGGATGATAACACTCTACACTGGCCAAACGCTCGTTGCCATCAAAGCCACCAATGGCGTACAGAAGACGATTAACAACTACAACACCAACGCCCAATCGTTTTGAATGCATTGGCTGGACGAGCGTCCAGCGATCTTGGTCTGGGTCATAGCTACATATAAAACGGATTAATTGTAAACTCATTATGTATGTTGTAGAGTACCTACTACTCCACTGTATTGTGGTATTCCATTCCTGCTGATCCACCCACAGCGTACATTAACTCGTCCATGACTGCTACGCCGACACGATGACGCGGTACGGACATTGGCGAACAGGGCCGCCACGTTTCGCTTATAGCACTATATCGATCTACCCAGTCGGAATCGTATGAAGAGCCAATGTTGTTATTGCGGCCGCCCACTGCATAGAACTTTCCTTTGAGAAATGCAGCGCCCAGACCGGAACGTGGAATGCGCAGATTTGGTAAAGTAGTCCAAGTCTTGTCATCGACATTATATGCCTCCAGTATGTCCAATGAATGTCGGAAAAAACCGCCAGCGACGAATATCATACGCGTTGTATTTGGCGTGCGCTCTTTGACGCCTGGGCATTTGTGCAATGTTAAGTCTTTAAAGATCTTGGCTAGATATTCGCGGCAAGCAGGAACCTTCCTCAGTACATCACAGTTTTTCATTTGCTCCTTAAGAAAGTTGGGCGTAAGAAACTGGCAGCGAACAGCGCCAAGAATGTGTTCCATCTTGCAATGCCGATTGTCCTCATCGTACTTCACCCATTTCAGAACGGCATTGTATACCTCCCGTTCTTCCTGTACGTTCAGCTCGTCCCGCCTGATAAGTGCTATCAGTTGATATGCAGACAACTGTAAAAACTCTTCCTCCTGGCACACCTACGATACGATCAAAGCACGGAGGCTAATAAAGGTAAGAACAACATTCAACATTCTCAACATACTTGCATAAAGTGACGTTCAATAAAGTAGTTTGCTTTCTTCTGTAGCTCACTGCAACTATGCTGCTCGGCAAAATTAGCAATGCCTATAGCGTTAGTTGGATCTAACTGGCGCTCCAGGAAAGCACAGCAGGCATCAATAACATTTTGCACTTGGAACATTGTCGCTGCAGGCAAAAGCTGGCAGACAGTTACTTCTGTGACACGTATCTGTCCAGTGTACATAAAGTAAAGAATCCGGGCCATTGCCGTGGGACACACCTACCAAAATGAGTTATGCTGTTCATATATTATAGCAACAATTTGGATCTATAAAGCTAGACTTTACTTACCCCCTGAAGTTGCACGCGCGACATCTCAGACTCCTTCAGTCCGCCAGTAAACATGGCCTTGAAGTACGGTGATGCAGCAGAAAGAACCACCTTGTGGGCAGGAAAGAGCTCCTTCTTCACTTCAAGCACAACGTCTGTTAGCATGCCGTGTGAACGCATCATGAACATCATTTTAAGTGCTTCCTTGGCGTAGTTCGACATGCAGAAAGTCATGTCATCATCTGTTGCATCGTGGTCATCTATGGCACGCGCAGTATCGAAACGCCCGCATGGCGTGGAGAGGGAACAGCTGTCTGAATTTTCGTTCATCTCTAAGTCTATATGAAAATACATATATTAAAAAAAAAAAAAACATTTTAATTCTGCATGTTAGAATAAAATGGGTGAAATTTGAATAACCTTCCATTGATTTCATTAAATATACAATAACTCTCTTTTCTGCAGGCTTGACTGCATCTTAGTAAACCTCGTTAATGGGATATTTCAAATCAAACAGACAGCGCAGACCTAAGAAATGTCTGCTCGAGAGTGGCCGACTATGGAATATTCTCATACCCAATGTTAAATAAATATATTCAGGTAATACTATTGGGAAATAAATAAAAGTTCACCAGTTAAGATGACGGGTAGTCCATTTCATTCACTTCTGGCTAGCAAATCGAGAAAACGCTGGCCTGTAGCCAAATTTTTCAAATTATAAAATTCGATTCACTCGACTAAAATGTTTTTTCTTCGTTGCTTTGTGAACTTGATTATTTATAGGAGTTGCGCCGTCTTGTCGATTTATAAAATTAGGCGATAAGGCTCGCCAACACTGAAAGGTGTGTCCAAAGTCCAATCACTATACGAATAAACAAGTAAGAGTGGTCTAATCGGGAGTTACCGACTAGGAGATTCCTTGATTTCGGCGCCGAACCGCCGTCAAAATATTCTTCCTTCTACAGACATACAATGACATGTGACACCACTTGCTGAGCAGTCTATGCTATAGCTGCGATGCTTTTTCCATTAGCGCCAATTTATGATCGTCACAAATATTGTATTATATGATTCTAAAGAAATACCAAGTTTCTTTATAGATGTTTTTTTTTGGGTTCGGGGAGAGTTATCCAAAAAGTGAAATATTCTGGATCTGCGTATCTTAAGAGAACCGGGGGATATGTTCAAAAACAGGATTTCAACCCGGTTCTGGTCGAGATCATGGAACTGCGAGCCTAGTTTTTTTATAAATATTGGTTTTCCTCAATGAACTAATGCGGCATTTACTCTCATATAAACTGCGCAGCAAGAGGCGTGCGTGTATGTGTGTGCAAATTAATGGATTTTTGTTGTTGTGTGTACATGTGTATTGAAATAAGCGGGAATGTTTGCTCCGACAGCCGGCGCGTGGTCAGGGTATCTCCTAGTCGGACTCTTTCGACAATAGCACTCCTACTTGTTATTACATACCGTACTTCTAAATGGGATAAGAACATTCTCCTGTATTGTGGGTTGCCTTTTTCCGCGCCTTTTTCAAATGGAATCTTTGAACGTACAAACTATAAAGATCAGCTCACTGAGCTTGTACCTTCAACATGGACTGATTGTGCGTACGCCGGATTTCAACTGAACCAATTTGCTTTGTCATTGCCTCACTAAAAATCCACACAAAACAGGTAGCGTTAGCGTCGAATCGTCGCTATGAAATAAGTGGTCTAGACGGGAATGCCCAACTACGGTATACCCTGTGTCTGTATCTGCCTCCAGACTGCTTTGGCCCACACAAGAGCACTTACTTGCTATAGAAATACCTTTTTATTAAATGTTCAATCGTTAAATTGTCAGGGGTATAATAGAATTCAAATTTTATTATTCTCAAATATATATCTCAAAATGCACATTTTAAATAATAAAATAGTGGAGGAAACTATCTAAAGTGAAATATTTGTATGTGTGCATACTAAGCGAGATCTGGAGTTTCTTTGCACAACTTTTCATCATATGCTTAAAGAAACGGATACCAAATTCACAATTTTATGTCCTTGCTTTTACAGTTATCGATGCGTTTCTACACACGGACATGGCTAAATCGAATAGAATATGTGCATTATATACTTTTTGTGTTCGGAATCTCTTTGCTTAATTTGCATTTTTTAAACATTGGTATTACTTTAATTTACTTCTTTTTTTTAACAATTTTCAGTAGGTATAGGGTATAAAAAGGTGTCATGTGGTGTAGTAAAAAAGTGCAGTGTCATGCTATAAATACGAAAACTCAGCGCCTAACTGAAATAGCAAATAAGGGTGACTGTATTTTTTGCTTACATGCCCGTCCACCTGTGCCTTCTATTACTTCCGAGACTTTAAGAACTAGGTGCTTTATGTAATGACTGAATGTAGTCTTCTGACCTAGGCTAGGATGCCTCCTATGTCTATGTCTAGTTCAAATTAAGATAGTTATAGCGGATCTAAGTCTCCAAGGTGTTATCAGATAAGTCAAAGAAAATGGATGGAAATTGTTCTACTGATATTTAAAGTTATCACTTAAGTCAGATAAATAATGTGAACAATTTAGCATCCTAGCTACCTTACGGTGCTTTGATCACCAATCATCAATCAGTCAGTTGCCACAAACATTTTAAAATATATGTAAGTCTGAATATACATAGATAACGTTCATAAATTTCGTTACGTGCATAAATATACTTGTATATGTTTTTATATGCATGCATACATGTGCGTACACAATTGGAAATGTGTGGGTAAAGTGACGTGCTTTTTGAATGACTCTGCATAAAAACGTGCCTATCTTGAGCGCAAGGAGTTCCCTTCACGGTTTTTTTGTTTTATCAAGTTTGCGATAATCACAAAGGCAAAGCGTAAGTGAGAGAGAGAAGGAGAAATATTGTCAAATCATGATGAGAAGGCACAATTGCACACATGTTCATATGCACACATACATGTATAGTATCTTCAAATACGTACATGAGTATGTGCATATAAACAAATGCTCGATATATAGAAGTATTCGGCAGTAGTAAGAGCGAAAGAACTTTTGATTTATTATTATAAAGGCATGTTGATATGTAAATGCACATGTTTATGTACATTATACATTCAATTGTTTGCATGTTCAACCAACAACTTGTTGATTTTCGGGATGGAACTGCCGTGTTATAATAAAGTACGCGTAGTTGCATATACATACGAATGTCAGCGAATATTTATCAAGATTTGAACATTTTGTGTATGTAACTTATTATATGCTTTGAAAAGAAAATATTATTATTGAGTGTATACACAAATGGTAAGACAATAGTGTGTGTACCAACAGCTGATAAGTTAAGCAGCGCGATGTATGTAGGTATTTTTTCAATCTTAGTTTTTAGAGTGTCAATGGATGAAGACCACTTTCATTTATAGCAATTAGTTTGAATAAAATCTAGCACAAACATGCATATCATTTTTGTATTTATTTGCAGTTCATTCATTAATAATACTACCGTTTGTTATTATTATTTCGTAGCACTCACAACTGCAAACGGGAACAACTATCAACTAAAGCGCTCGCAGTGTTGCCATAAATTTTAAAATACCATTATGGGTATTCCAATAAAACATTTGTAATTTTTTGTATTTGCCATTAATCTAATATGCAATGAACTCTAAGCTTATGCTTAAGTTAGCCAGTATTATGAGAACATATACAATTTATAGTGTGGTCTTATTAAGTTAATTTTAAGTGCAAATTGTTATCGACATCAATGGCAGAGAAGATGGTATTTTCAGTATATTTATGTCGACAAAGAGCATGCTCGTATTTTGTACTCTTGGTCATACTGATTTTTTGTGACCGCTTTGCAGCTTACGTGACATTGCTTATCTATCGCAACAAAATAAAATATCTAAAATGTCAACATCGACGATACGAAAATACAGTGCGTCTGTTATTTTTTTTCACGGCTCTGGTGATACTGGACAAAATTTACTAGAATGGGTCCGTTTTCTACTAGGCCGAGATTTTAACCTAGCGCATGTAAAAATTATATATCCCACTGCTCCAATGCAAAAGTACACTCCGTTAAATGGACAGCTTTCCAATGTGTGGTTCGATCGACGATCAGTAAATATTGCAGCGCTGGAAAGTAAGAAGAGCATGTCCCAATGTTATGATATTGTACACCAACTCATCCAGAATGAAATAGACCACGGCATCCCGTTGAATCGCATAATTGTCGGTGGCTTTTCAATGGGTGGCGCTTTGGCCTTGCATACATGTTACCACCTAAATACGGGTGTAGCTGGTGTATTTGCACACTCGTCGTTCCTTAATCGTAAATCTGTGGTCTATGAATCCCTGGAAAATCAAAATGCTCCAAAAAGCACGCTTCCTGAACTTCTTATGTTCCACGGAGAGCGCGATACACTAGTTCCACTTGAATGGGGGCTAGAGACATTTGAATCATTACAAAAACTGGGCATAGTAGGCACATTCACCCCCTTAAAAAACACATTGCACGAGCTAAAGAAACGCTCGCTGCTCGATTTGGAGGAATGGATATTGAAAAAGTTGCCGCCTTTAAGTATAGACATTTCTAATAAACTTTAAATGACTCACAAACTATTTGCGTTTATTAAAAATGAGCAGTTTTTAAACCAAGTTTGTATTCATACTTATTTTCTAAATGCGAGTATTTGGAATAACACCGATGCAATAAGGAGCACCACACAGACATGGCTTTCCATTAGACATTCCTTCGCGATGCTCTTCCCCCGCATAGTGGAAGCATAATTCCTCATTGGCATAAATATCGTGTTTTGCAAAGATTCCTACAAGCATTTCATACAAAAATAAGCATGTTTTACTTTTTATAGTCCAAGCTAATCGCTTACCAACTTTTGGTATGGGACAGTTTGTTCGCACGGGTAAGATCTCACAGTTTGGCTGACAACTGTGGTTTAGATAACGACCGATATTTCCACGCTGAGCTGGATCTACAATAGTTAGTAACAATTGCTTTTGCACTAGATAATGACTTTGAGGTGATACATGCTCATTAAGACATAATATGTAGTTCACAAGGCAATTTTTGTCAATGTGTTCCAGTCGCCGCTGAGCCTCTGAAAGAGTTAACAGCTCGCCTGCATACTCACAGATAAAAGCCCCACAAGGAATATCAGCGGTAGTGCGCAAACCTTTTGACTTATACAATGGCGATTCAAACACTTCTAGATTTTTGCGTGGTCCATACTGCACTCGTCTGTTTGTGCATAGGGTAATCGGGCATTCACATAGGTCATTGCATTCGATAATAGATGGAAATTGTTTATCTGCACTTGATAATAAAACTAATTCGCCTTTCGCGCGAGTGTATTTAATGCCGTCCCCGTGACAGCACAAAACAATGTTACTACAGTTATCCGTACATGTACATGATAATGTCAGCTGAGAATTGTAATCATCCTTCAGGCGACTGTATTCTGGGCTTCCATCATCAGGCATGAGTACATTTTCCAAAATATATTCTACATTCCCATTGTGGTCGTAATCATCATCAATTTCAACGTGTGCTGGCATCGAACTTTAAAGCTATTTGTCTCATCAATATGTTATTAGCATGCAATACTAGAGATTCGAGATATTGACTTAACATCGATGCATCGCATTTAATCGATGTTTTGCGTACGATTCATCGAATCTATTCGATTTTTGCTTAAATCAAATTTTAGCTGTGTTGTTTTGATTGTTGCATTTTCAGTCTCGTGGGACGACAGTTATGCTATGCACACTAAATATAGTTCCGCACAAAAGTGCTTAAGATTAGGTGATCTAACATCTTGTGTCAACGCTAAAAAATTGTAAGTATTCGATTTAAGCGATATATACATCGATATAAAAAGACGAGCTCTATCGATGTTAAAATTGAAAAGCTAAAAATTGATACTACAAGTTCAAACTTAACTTACTTTTGAGCGGTTGAACTGAGTGGACCCTTAGAGTTGAAAGTTGACGATGTGAATTGTAGATATACAGAAAGTAAGAAGACTGCGGACTTAACCAATGTAAAATATTTAGAGTTTAAATTTATAATAATAAGGGTGCAATGGTTGCGCTAGCTTTTGTACCGGTTGCAGTCGCAAAGGTATCAACGCAGCAAAATACCGACGGAGGACGTCATTACAGATTTCCAACTAACAGCCATTACGCTTTTTGACGTCATCGATACCTCTTCGCTTCAGATGGCCAGTAAAGACAGCTGCGCAACTAATTCGCCAACTAGTACCTGTGGGACCTGATGCAGATTGGGGGATATGAATGAGGGAGTCCACCTGGACAGGCTCACCTGGCGCAAGCAAATACAAGCCAAGACGCATTTAAAATGTTGGGCAAGTAACCTCCACCGACGCTCGCTCTCTCAAGATTGACTTTCCTGATTATCCTGTATAACTCTGAGCTAGAACTAACTTGTGGTTTTCAGCTATGTGGTAATGTAAGCAAGAGCAAGATACTCATTAAAAAATGGTATACTGGGCTTGCACAAATCTAGGTAATAAGTACGAGAACACATGCCGACGCCATAACGTATATACATATATTCTTAGTGAACATCAATAGCCGAGTCTGGTCTGAACGCCAAATTCTGAGGTTGTTAGAGCTGGAGAAATTTGATACATAGGTCTTCCTTGTGCCCATGCTTTATAATTTATACAAATCAAAGTTTTTTTTATTTCCATATAATCCATAAAGATCGATATAAAAATGCTGTGTTTTTTGGTATGTAGGGTCTCTCTTAGTATACACAGATTTAGAATGTTTCAATGTTTATAAGAGTCATTTGTGGAGAACTAACCTGGGTATTTGCATACATTTGGTTAATAATAATATATTCTTTTTATTTGTATAGTTATGAATTGAAATAAATACATTTTTGGAGATTCAAAGGATCATTTTATAAAATATATAAGCACATATATAAATATTTATCAAACCCTATGTTATGTTTGTACGGAACGCTTAAAATGCAAAACTTGCCCAGCTATTTCAATGTTTTGTTTGAACAGCATTTGTAGGTCAGCATGGTAGTTAATTTGAATGGAAACACATCCGGTAAAGGCTAGTTTAATCAAGGCTTCTTTCAAGTTATCGGCCCTGAAACGTAAAAGAGTATTTAAATGTGTTTATTTATATATAGAAACAATAATTGTTTTTAGCTACCTGTTGTATTATTGATTTAAGCCACTTTTCAATTTATCGATAGTATTTTTAAATCTATCGTGAATATCATTTTTAATTTTGCTGACATCGTCCTCTTGCTCGTGGTAGTAAAAAAAGTAGACTAGTAAGCCGACAATAACAAACACAACAAAGAACGCACTGATTATAGATACGAGCATGCTAAGTGCGCAACTGAAGCAGCTGAAAATAAACAGTTTTGGAGTTAGACTAGCTAAATATATATATATAAATAAATAAATGTGTACATGTATGAAAGTTTTTGTTTACAATCCGAACAGCCTCAGACCACTCTTTCAAAGAACTTTCTACTCCAAGAAAAGATATTTGAGACATGTCTAAACTTTTTGCAACATGCAGGCCTTTTCGATGTTTTAGGTTTCGTCCAATCGCCTTTAAACTGATTTTCTAAGATCTAAATTGTTTTTTTTTTTTGAGTTTCAATAATCTCATCACGAAATATAAATATATAAATTTTAAAGGAAAATTAAAAGTGCGAGCTTAAACTTAAAAACGTAATTCATCATTTTAGATAATAGTTCAATGGTGTTATGATAAGAAAGGAGAATAGTAAAGCATGGTATTGATGAGTTTTGTAAAGATATCCATAAAACAAAACTTCGATTTTTGACGAGCATCGTAAGGCTCGTGGTTACTGAGTGAGAAAAGCATAAAAAATGTTTGTTTTTATTTCCATCGAACTGTCCTCACTTCTCGCCCAACTGACCGAGGAGCTCAGTTGTATAACGTAAGTCGTACAAGTCGGGAAGGATTAAGTTATATGCTAATGTGGTTTGATCCGGCCGCCCCGACATATTTACTACTAGAAAAAAAAAAAAAAAACAAGGACTAACAAGAGACCTTCATTAAGAATATGTATATTTTATGGTGCTCCTTGGTATATGGGCGACTATGATATATAAAGACTTAATCATGAACGCCTAATCGGGCTGGATCTTCCACATATTGTCATAAATTAAGTTAAAAGAACAAACTATAATTTAATATGTATATTAGTTGAACTCATTGGAGCTCAAACATTCCTGTTAAGTTTTATAATGTTTTAGTTGCTAAGCAACTTGTTTATTGTCCTAAGACAGATTACAAATACAGCCCAAATTAATAAGAAAAAAATAGGTTATGGAGTCGAAGATGTCAACTTATATGCGTTATTCGTTTCGTGATAATATTACAATATTCTCTGCAAGGGTAAAGTAATGAAAATATATGAAAAGGCAATTTAGGTTAAGCCCCTAAGTTAATTTCCAACCCTTGTTGTCACGAGTTATTTAGTTTCTGCGTGCTTATGCAAAAATGTCAAGTTTCCGCCCAGCTGTCGGCTAACTGAAAGATATCCTTGATGAGCTCTATAGTGGGGGTAGCACAAGTAGTAAAACATCGTTATACTGTCGCGCCTGAGTGGAGCCGGGACTTGCTGGAGCCGGGCAAATACGCATTTCAAATAGAGATACACAACAAAATTACAGGCAAACATGCGTTCATGTATGTATGTATATAAGTTAGCTGTAGAAAATAAGGGTGACATGAGTATGAGCATAGTATGATGATGAGTATAGTTTAAATATATACAGTTTATAATTACTTGCCTACATATATAATATTATATTGGCATGGACCGCATTCAGAATGTATGCCTTATGCTTTTCAATTTGAAAACATTTCCATGTGTGTACATAGCTATACATTTCTATGCTCATTCACTGTACATACAGCAAGTATATTATGTAAAATATTAGCAGTTATTAGAGACAGACTTTACAGTATGGACGCTTACAAAGAATTATAATATAAAGAAACTAAACAACGAGGATCCGGTTCCGATCTCCAGACTAGTACTATTTATATTATCATTACATACATATTTAAAGGTTGATATTTTTTAGCAGAATAATAAAAACAAGTTCTCCTGCCCATAGCGCCCGCCCGGAAAATATTGTGTACGCTAAACTGTTATAACAAATAATAGAGCTTCCTTCTATATATATACATATATTGCTGTTTTCTCGCACACTATGGGCAATTCATTCTTGAAGGACTTCGTGGCTTATTGTCCGATCTTTTTGACATTTTCTGGGATTAAATATGACGTCTAACATTAGTTTCCGCACGGCAAGGCATATCTAAATGACTTTAAAAGCGTAAAGCTGCTGCACCTCTCAAATACTGGAGATGCTCACTAGCGGTACATTCTTAGGTGTACTTATGCATATATATATGTATATATGTACATACATAAGCACAAACATAAACATAAAAATTAACATATTACACGCACATGTACACAAATCTCTATCTACATATGCGTGTACTTTTTATATGTAAATATATACTTACGCATGTGCACATGTATATATATGTACTCTTACACTTATAAATATATTTACTTTTAAGTACGCAAAGTATTCGTTTATGTACGTACATATATGTAGAAACGTGTATACAAAGGCAATGCCAAGAGCAAAAACTTGCTGTTTATTCATTTAAACTTACCAGCATGCGACGTTTCCGGCCAGACATTTACACATTTTGAGTTTGTTATTTAACGTTTGCTGTAATATAATTAAATTATTAAATTGCTGGTATTATTTTGAGAGAAACATTTCAACTGTATCGCTGAGTTTGTGCACTGACTTATGTAGCTACACACAACTTACCACGCCTGAAGTTGTGGAGAAACTGAAAACGAAAACTGTCTGGCAGCTACTCGTCGGCAAACTGCGTTCTGTGAGAGGCAGAGTATACAAACATACATTCACACACATACATACAATATAGAGAGAGAAATGGTACGGTTTACTGATCTAAAGCATAGTAAAATAATATAAGGTGGTATTATGCGATAGCAGTTTTCAGTTGCTCAGAATGAAAGTGAGAGAGCAAAATTAATTATTTGCTTTGCTCTAATATTTGTTTTGCTTGTGTGAGTTCAAAAACATAAGAAAGAATGAACAGTACTTTTAATAAGGAAACAAATAATAAATGGAAAGTTGCGTCATTTAGCGGTTTGTATATTTTAATTTTAAAAAAGTTATATAATATGTAAGGTCAAGTAAAATTGCAATTGTAAGATTGTAATAAATGGAGTTAATTTTACGTCGCTTTAAGTCAACAAAAAAGTACATATGTATGTATGTATGTACATATGTAGATAACATACAGAATGCCGGCACTGCAGCGGTTGTTAATTGACTGCTCTGTGGTGAATATGGCTGCAGCAATACAATTTTCAACCGATTACGCTCAAAATGTACGCGCATATTTAAAAATACATTTTTTAAAGAATCACAATTACATTCACAAAATGTTTTTCATTCCCGTCCCCGACCCCATAAGGTACATATTTTCTTGGTCAGTATTTTCCAGCTTCGTTTTTTTAGAAACATCACATCATCCCATTCGGCGCTTTAGATTGCTTATATGTCCTCCAACGCGTTTGGAAACAGGTGGATTGGGTCATTAAACAAGTCATGTTCTTCGGTTTCAACAGAAGGATATCTTCGGGGTCGATGTCGATGTTTGTTTCATAGCTGTCCTCGGTTTTTACATTATCTGCGACAACGATTCTACTAAAATCGTCAACGAATGAATTTATCGATCCTTTTATAAAGAACTATATCATATTTTCTATACTACATTTTCCATAGTTGCGGCTGTAAATTGTCGGTTTTAAGATTGTTCGACAATACTAGCGGCCTATGGTCAGTTTTTATCATGAAAGTCCTTCCATGTACATAAAGCTCATTTTCTGTGGTACTGTAGTTTAGATTAGATTAGCTATTATATTATTATTACATCGCTTGTAAACTGTAATTTTATCTTATTTTTTGCATCCTTATAATCTTCATAATATTTTTTGATATCTTTATACTCTGTACCTATGAAAAATGGCTAAAAAGAGTATAATGTTTTTGTAAAAATGTATGTAACAGTATATATATTCTTGATCAGTATCAACAGCCGAGTTTGTTTCCGATAGTCGATAACTTACTTCATTTCCAAGCAATCGATAATAAGCGATATCAAAATACTACTTTTTGAGCAAATTGGATAAATAAGAAGAGCTAGAGTCACCATAAGTGATATGTTTACTCTAGAATAATATATCAAGTATCTTTAATTTTATACCTATCGCCACCTCCCCTCTACTACCTTAAAGTTGTAAATCAAGTTGATAACCCAACTTGTATTGCCCACCAATTTAAGCTACAATTTTAATGCAATTTACTTTTTGAGAATACCCAAATATTATTAAGATCGGTAAAGAAACACGCAAAAGTTATGTGTTTTGACTGTCTACGTGTTTGTGGCAGCTAGCGCAAATTGCAAAAATTTCTGTATACATATACAAACGCACTCATGCGCATCTGCTTCGAATTCTATCAACAGCATTCCAATTGCGATTGTATTGTTTTCTGTGTTGATATTTTAATTCGTTTTTTATTTTTCAATAGAACTCAATTATTGTGTGTGGAAGTTAAGTAGAGGCGGTGGCGAGTTCCGAGTTCGAATCCCTCAAAGGCAACTTTTTTTTATATTTATCTTTATTACTACCAACGAGCGCGTAGCGCGAGCTGCTTTGAATCCCTACCAAAGGTTATATTTGTTAGGCTATATTGCTAACCAATAAATAACCACATATAGTACAAAAATAGGAACAAAATAAGATAATAAAATTTTAGAGTTAAGTTGACAAAGATAAACCGCCTAAATAATACTATTAACATTTTAAATTTAATTATTAGCAAAAAACTCTTGACATTACATTGTGGTCTTTATGCATAAGACAACTAATAAAAAAGTTGTCGCTCGGTGTAATTAATGTATTTAGATGTTATTCGTAGAGTAAAACAAATTGCAAATTCCTCACGTCCGACCTTATGAATAAATAATACATAATATAAATAGTATGAAAGTATATTTTTAAGGCGCGTAGTGGCTTGCGATAAATCGTAAAACGATTTGTTGCTTCAAAGATAAAAAGCCTTGGAGGCTATCACATACATATATTGATTACTTTTAAATGTTTCATAAAGTTAGCATTATGAATATTGTGGAGACTCTCCACCTGATGGCATTTTCTTAACGCGGCTAACATCGTCATATGCAATTGAGAAAACACTTTTCTTTTTGGCTATTGGATTTCTACGGCCCATACTATTCATTAGAGAGTTCATGGCAATGCCCGAGTCGTGGTCATCTTCCAGAGTAGATGCATTCAGCTGCTTTTGAGCATGAGAAGGGAGGTGTACAGTATTTTGATCTTCTATATAAAGATTTATTTTTGATTTTGTTAGCTTTACTTCGTTCTCTTTTATGGGCGACGGTTTCGGCTTGTGCCTCTGAGATAGTTGATCTTTTTCCGTTGATGTCGCATGGGGCGGAGTTTCCGGATACATATAGTGTGGCAACTTGGTGGGAGGAGGTGGCACGTCCGGAGCGTTTTCACGTTCGAAACGATGTTCAGAGTGCTGTAAGAGCGGATGGTTGGTATCAGTCTCTGTTTTGGGCTTGTGTTGCTTATTTAAATCTCTATCCTCTTTGAGCAGCCGACTGCCTTTTGGTGGAGATCTTCGAGGTGCGGGTTCCGGTTTAAATATCCCTTCGGCATCATTTTGTGCTTGATCCTCCGACTTTGAGTGCATTCGCGTTTTCGACACACGTTTCTCTGGAGCAACATTTTTCTTTTTGGCTGACAACTGCGATTTGGACGACTCCGTAGAAGTTCGCCCGCTTAAAGAGGGCTTCTTCCTACTGTAATACCATTCCATATATTTGGGCACATTTCGTGCAGTTGTTTCATTGTGACCGGCTAATTCTGTTTCACTTTGATAAAAGCGATCATTTAAGGAACGTTTCAAACCACTCATTTCATTTGAATTAGTAACGCGGTTTCTCTCATTTCCGCTTATATGCATTTCAGACTTTGAAATTGAAGCTCGGTTATGCGGTGGCTCCGAAGATGTTTGCTTTCGGGAAATATGGCTGCGCTTAGAACTGTCTCTGCGTGAAAGTCTCGGCCTAGCCTCGGGTTGGATTTCTCGTGACTCCGATGGCGAAGTGTTTATGGATTTACTTTGGTTTGAATTCTTAATTTGTAGTTCATTAAGCTCTGGGTCTCTTGACTTTTTAGCGTAAACATTTTGTTGATGCACACAGCCAGATGAGTTTTCATTTGTCCTAATTACAATTTCATTATCATCCGAATCAATTGAGTATTCAGTATCGTTTTCGTCATCCAAGTTGTCATAGAACTGTTGAGCTGTTCTATGCTCTCGTGGACTTCCGAATTCATCTAGAGAGTCCGATATTTCCATAAGTATCTCTCGGCTTAGTGCTTCTGATTTGTGCTTTCTATTAGATTCATTGTGCTCGTCAACCTCAATCCTTCGATTTTCATTGCTCAACTGCTTACGCAAAATACTTGTTTTTGTTTCGCGAAGTGGCTTTTTAGGTGGTACACGTCTCATTTTCTCGTATATTTCTTCTTCCTCCTTTATAGGAGTGCGGATTTTGTGCTTCACCTCTTCAACCAAAACAATTCTATTTCGAGGTTGTGAGTTGCCGCGTAGCCTTAAACGCCTTTTGGGGTGATGACGCTTTATCCAATAGACGCCTTCGGGGCTATTTGGTGGACTGAAACGCACATATTTGTATTCATCCTCTGACATCGAATCGTCATTTTCACTACGTGCTCGGCGGCGAGTGGAGCCCACTTTGTAATGTGAATTTAATTGATTTCCAATGGAGCCATGAGCCGGTTCAGTTTGAGTACCAGCATCGCAGTCGGTTTGTGTTCCTATAGCCATTGATTGGCCCGGAAGACTTTGTGTTTCTAAAATTATTTCCTGCCGGGTGTATCTAGTTTCTAGTTTTTCCTTTTCAAGCAATATTTGTCGCAAAAGCGCATTCTGTTGCTTAAGCGAGTGCTCCAGCTCATGTGTAAGAGATTGATTTGATAAAACGGGTTGAAGCTGGGATATATCCTCAGCACCCTGAACAGACTGGGTATGTATAACTTTTACTTCGGGTTCCGTTTGGGAGTAGACAACACTATTTGGTCCCGATTTACCCAAGGGAAAAGTATCGCCCTTAAGTGTTGATCCTTGTTGTATTTCGTTTGGCATTGACTGAATATATGTTGCACCTGGGACAATATGATAGTGTTCACGTATTATCTGCTTTCCATCGGGCTGCTCTTCAATAAATCTTCTCATTAAAATCTCCTTACCCGTGTTGTCCACCATTAATAATTGTGGATGAGAAAGATTTATTGATGACTTCACTGGAACATTTACGTAGATATTGTCGTCATCCAATACAGTATCGTCTCGAGTTTTATCTCTTGTCATTAGCTGTAAAATCTCGACATTTCCGTCTTTTATAAAAAGTTCGCGCTTATTCTTGAGACTATTTTGTGCAGTGTTAAAGTCGACGTCGCTTCCACGGTCTATTTCGTGCCTTCGTATAGAATCATCGTCTATTTGTCGAGCTTCCGAGTCGTAGTTTTTCAAGCGACCATTATCCTGAGGTCTGTTTTCTTTGCCACGAGAAAAGTTTTCTTTTATTTCAACTAGGTGGTGATCATCCATTACGTCTTCAATATAAACGTCACGATCGTTTATTAAATTAGTTCTAGAGTCATGGAAACTATGATGCGGGTCGTCTTTGGTTGTGTGGCTATTTCTATAAGAAATTATACTTTGGTAATTCCATTAAAATAATATATAAGATATAGGTTAGTACTTAATGCGGACGCGTCTTTGTTGATATTCCGCGGATTCTGCGCGCCGAACTGCATCGCGATCGCTATTAATAATAGACTGTTGCGTTTCTATGTTTTCAGGCTGTTCACGTCCATCGCGGAATTCCCAGCGGGTAGGCTTTGTTCGTGTATTTGATGGTTTATCCGCTGACCAAGCCTCCCGTCTTCCCATCCACTCGGCGACCTGTAATTTAATGGTTATTTAAGTATATAGAGTCACTTTGCTTATACCTTGCATTTTAAAGAAAGACTTTTAAATGCTATCAACTTCAATCGTTTAATAAAAAAGTGGGTAAGATGGAAAATATAAATATAAGCAGTGATAATGTAATGTGATTGCAGAACCATAGTGAATTATAACTAGGAGTTGTTAAGTGTTACATTTTGGGAATTTATGGTGTAAGTAAGAATGGAAATATTGTTGGAAACTAAAGTATAAGTTTACTAACGAAATTGCCACTTTGCAAGCGTGTTTGATGCTTTCTACATTTCGAAATTCTAAGTACTGTGTTATTTGAAATCGATCAAATCTACCTGAACAGATTTTGTTTGTTTTCCATTTGCCATTTCTCTATGCACTAGATGTACATCGTCTTCAGTTTTACTGATATTAACTATTCTTTTGCTACAAGAGAAGAATAAACAATTAAATATGAGATGAGTAATGTGTCTTAGGATAATGATATGAACTTTAAAGAGGTATTGTCTTCCTCACTACATTGAATTCTGTACTTAGTCTTTGGTACGATACTGAGTGAATATTTTTAGGAATTGTATGCATTTGTTAAGCGATTAGCTTGCTTGTTTAAGTCTTAATATAAAAGGTTTACGTTTAAGTTGAAATTATCACCTGAGCGGAAGTTTTATGGGTGACATGAATCAAAGACACAAAATATTTATTTTGTGGGCTTGACATTGTCGGCGTGTATTTAACCTATACGTTGAATTATATGCGGTTGTTGTTTTTAAAATTATTTTATATTAGGCATACCATAGGCAAAACATTTAAAAATGTATAAAATCTATGTTTAACTTTGTGGCTTGATTTAGAATTTATTGCACACAACTTTAAATGTCGATTGTGTTAGGTAGTTTATAAAGCGATTTGGGCATTTTTCGTATAGCTTTCAACGGTATCCTCTCCAGTGTCGAACTAAATACCGAGACTAAGTTACCGATCCAAGAAGCAAGGGATGAAAATATAGAATGTCTTGTATTGCTCTAGGTGAGCACGATTTTGCCTATGTTACTTACGTAGTTGCATTATATAGAGGGCACCACGAGCATATACAGCAAAGCAGTAAGATCAAGATCGTAAGGGCAACCAACGTGGCCAGTAGTATAAGAAGCCAAAATAAAACTTTATTTTCAGCCTTATACTGCGTCTGTAGGGGAGTGAGATTCTATTAACGCACACTAGTCAATAATCGTTCCATAATATGATTTGGTTTCTAATTACGATAACTTACGGCTGTTTCGGCTGTGTCTTGTGGCATGATTGCGTAAGAGTTATTATGCTGCGAGAGCCGCTGTTGTATTTGCGAGATATCAACTACTGATGCCCTGTCATAGAGCACAGTTGCGGTGACCACACTCCGCTCCTTGATGTTTGGATTACCGTCGAGTATGTCTTTTGCACCAGGCTCATCGGGTCTGAGGGGTCGAATTTCGTGAATAAAAACCTTGCCTCCAGTTATTGCAGATAGCGTTTCCTCTGTTTGGCGCTTGTCCAGCTTAAGTCCTGGTATTACAAATGTCACAATGCGCTTTCTGCTCTCTGGTGGATAGATGCGTATTGTCGTGGTCGAAAAACGCACTGGCACTCCTAGATCGTAGGCTCTAGCGGTCAGAATAAATAAATCGCCCTCATCGTCGGATAGTGGCATGGTATGTACATCTCGGCGTCTTCGCTGGGTGATATGCTTTTTCGAGCGAAGATGGATCTTTTCTCGGACTGTTAGCTCGCCCGTCAGCTTATTCAAAACAAAATTATTTTCATAGTTGCCATTGATTAGTTCATATCGCACTTCATTATTTGGCGCTGTAGCATCCTTGTCAGTGGCATGTATGACAGCGCTGGTCGTAAAACCCAGTAGGTCGGTTGCCAGTATAAACTCGTATAAATCCTTGTCAAAGATGGGTGCCTCATCGTTTACGTCAATCAGCTTGATTATGAGCGGAACTTGTACTCGATTGCCAATACCATCCATGTCCCGAGCCTCCACATACAAGTGATACTCAGGCATTATTTCGCGATCAAAACCGTGGGTATTGGTTGCAACTGTGATTAATCCATTTTCCGCATCCAGATTGAGAGAGGTATTTAGATATCCCAAAATGGCAGTATAGCGCACCTTTCCACCCAAACCCGAATCCAAGTCTCCTGCATGAACCTGCACGACTTTTGTGCCCACTGTCATGTTTTCTGGGAGTTCCACCGTGTAGCTCGGCTGATCGAAAACCGGCGTATTGTCGTTAACGTCGTTGATATATACAGTGACTTTCACCATTGCCGAAAGATTAGTAGCTGGTCCCAGCTCCTGTGCGAGTATATTAAACTGAACCGATTGCCTTTGCTCGTAATCCAACCAAGAATTGTCCCTTACTCTGATGAGAAACGATGCGCTACGCTCGGCTACATTTGGTGTGATCTCAAAAGTACCGTTATTATTTAGTAATGTCAGTGAGAAGACTCCATTTTTGCCAGTATCGTCGTCATACACTCGTGGTATATATGGATCCACGAACGATAGCGCTGTACCTTGCAGGGCATTTTCATCCACCCTCGAGACGTAACTACAAGTACAGGGAGGATGATCAAGATATGAGAAAGATATAAGTAATACAAATGAACACATAAAAACATCAAATTTACTTGTATTCCCATTTATACCTAGATCCTTGAACATATTTTGAATAAAATTATACGACTATTGGTATTTTAAAGATGCATGATACAAATTTTTCGGCTGTGAAAGGAATCAATTCTGACCCTATAATGTATGTATCAACTTGGCCAGCATCAACAGTCGAGTCGTTTTAGCCAAGTGTATGAATGCGTCTATAGGAAACCATGAGCTACAGATTTTAAATTTTGAACATACATAGGACCTTTGTCAGTTTTGGAGATAGACCCTGGTATATACAGTATATACAGGGACAGAAAATTTCACTTTTGATACATCCCCTCGTTCACTACAAAAATAGAGAAGAGGCATTTGTACTTGGTGGATCGGATAATGAGCACCGAAGTAAATCACAGAGACATTTCCCACACTGTGGTGGTGCGTTCGTGTGTATATGTCTGACTTTGTGCTTGGCGCGGGGTGCATCTTAGGGTATCTCCTGGCCAGGCGCACCCGACTAGAGCACTCTTTCCTACTATATCTGTTTTTGTTACTTACTAATCGTTCTCGAAGTAAGGAGGTGAGTTGGTACGGTCCGGCAGAAAGAACGCTAATTGCACTGTGGAAGCCATTGCTGGAGGTTCGTCACGACCAACTTTAACTTCTTCCGCAATTACGGTGAGCAAAACGGGATCGCCCACATGTGTGATTGCCACAATATCTTCCAGTGGTCGCATCAAAAAAATTTCACCTGGAAAGATATAGAATTTACGTGGAAATTAAAATAATAGTTTTAAGGAAGCTTCAATCGTTTTTCACGATTGCATTTTTTTAAACCATTGTTGAGGGTCTTTTTTTTGTCATGAAGTACATAACTCATAAAAGCGACATCCCCGACCCGATTTTTGCTCCCTACATATGTAATGTCCTATAAACATCAGAACACTATATTATTTAGCTGACATTGCACCGATCGGTCGAAAATTAAGTTGTATAATGAACAAATTTTCGGACCAAACTTTGCATTTATTAGTTTCACAATGTCTCTTCCATATGAGCCAAATCTCATCAATATAACACAAGGGTAATCGTTGGCTTTCCAAAGTTAGACATTATTACTTGTCTAAAGTCAAATTCAATATACGTGTAGTAATTGTAATCTTCTTTAATTAAAGGAAAGAGTATGGATTATTACATTTTGGCAAAACATACAAATTATGTCTTGCAATAAATAAGAATACTGTTTTTATACTTTGTGATTATTTTAGAAGAGCCCCTTATGGCTAAAGTCCCAAGAGCGCAGAAGAACTTAAGCCTGACAGCCCTGAGAAGAAATTAGTATTAGTACAGCAAAAAAACAGACAATTTCTGTATTAACTGACTAGGTCGATGTGAGTTGCCAGCGATTATGCCCACTTTTTGCTTGGTTTCGAATTGCTTTGCAAAAAACAAAGGAAACAGAAAGTAATCACACGATGCCTTGAGAATATTTATTGCTTTTTGTATTCGCCTCATTTTCTTCATGTATTTATGTATATCGAAGTTATCTATATAGTTATATAAATGAGCTTGTCCTGACTGACTGAATAAACCGAGACAAACGCACAGTCCAAGTCCAATTTTTACTCAAGCTTTCTAATGGGTCGAAACTAATCGTATGACGTCATAATATAGCAATCGGGGTACGTTTGTTTTCTATTTATATGTATAGAAGGGGTTCAAGGTATATGTGGATCTTCCTTAAACCATATATTCACAATAGTATTTATTTTTGCGCGTCCCGAAGAAAGCCAGGAGGGCGTTTAGGGTGTTTGCTAGCCGGTTCAGCTCGACTAGAGCCATATTATTACTTGTAATGAAATACAATATGTGCAGATGCATTCTATGAAACTAAATTCTTATGTGTTTGCCGAAATGCGTTTTGCCTCATCGAGAATTCTGCCAATTTTTGCAAAAACAAAGACTGCCCCAAACGTAAGCCAACAAATACACACGTATACAGATCCGGTTGCACAAAGGCCGGCTAAAGAAACTCCTCAGCCTGGCCCAGAGTCATTGCCATCAAACTGGTAATGAACCAGACAAGCACGATACAAGGAAGCTTAAGCGCAATCATTGCGGCTTGATTGTGACGTTGAGCAGCTAAGGGCAAAGTCGTTGCTGAGAGCTAGAACTTGGTCACAACGTACATTGAAGATGAGCTTTGCCATCTAACGAGTCTAACGACGGACCGGATTGAAGTTTACCCGTTCGATTGCTGGTAGTTATGTTAATATCTTTTTTATGTTGTTGCATTGTTGTTTTTATATGCTCTGCATACAAAATCGTTAAAAAGAATAGCACAGTTTTTTACAATTGCATACAACTGGCAGCAATAGGCATTTTTAATATATATATATCTTTGTACTTAACGCATTCATTTGCAGAGCCTAAGCACAGCTGTATATGTAGTATGTATATAGACTAGAAATATAAAATATGCCACCATTGAAAATGGCTAAATGGGTATACCGTTTTCTCGCACTGGCTCTAAAATATTCAGTTTTTGATGACTCCTTGCTCTCTACAAATTAAATGCAATATACAAGCAGTTGGGTGCCATATTTGGGTTCAAATAATTTCATAATGACTTATGCAAGACTGCAATTCCCATAGTGCGTGGCAAGGCAAAGAAGAGGCATATCCGCTGTATAAAATGTTTGCGTTTGTTTAGATATATATGTGTTTTTGTGTATTTACAGAAGGTTCAAAGGTCGGTATAGGCTACACGGTGCTTTCTATTCGAGATCTCCAGATTGGAGCACTCTTGTTAAATATTTGGGATAGGGTAAGTTGCTTAGTTTGGTTTTATTTGTATTGTAATTTTACATCGCACTTACCGCTTGTGTCGTTGATATCAAAAAATGAAGTAAAGGGATTGTTTTCAGAAACTAAACCATATCGTACTTCCCGTGGGTTCCCCTTATCACCGTCCTCCGCATGAACTTGCAATATCTTAGAAATACGATATATTAGAATACAGTTTATCGTATTATTATTAACAGAATTGAATATCGTTACAAATAATTAGCCTAACTTTTGTCTTCGACTAAGATAATTAATTGCATAATATATAAATCACCTTATCACCAGGAAGAATACCGGGCTGTAATTTTGTAACTGGCGGAGCCATAGTAAACACAGGCGGCTGATCTTGTACATCTTGTACAATAACAACAATTTCTATTCCTGCAATATTTCGTCCATCTTGACCAGGCTCGGCATATGCATCCTAAGGGGAAAAATAATTTATTGTTACACATCACAAGCTTCCGCATAACCCTAATAGACGTACATTAGCAAGAATTGTTAAGTGGTACATAGCTTGCTTCTCGAAATCCAAAGGTCCTAAAAGGAAAACTGTTCCTTCCGTTGTCTCAGCTGATATAATTTTTTGTCTTATAGCAAATAAAGGCGAACCCTGAAGTTACAAAATTTTTATATGTTTTTTTATGTTCTCAATATTACTCACCCATAACTCGAGGTAGACTGGCTTTTGAAAGAGTGGGTTTTTCCGGGCAATTACATAATCTAGTTCCGTGCCTCGCTTTGCATCCTTTAAGAGTATTAAAATTGGGAAACTGTTATCATATATCAAATATATACAGCTAACTCTGTTTTTACACGGTTTTGATTTAGCACGGTTTGAAAATACAAAAACTTAAGCACGATTTTAAATCTTTTGGGCTTACATTTTTTTTGCTAAATTTAATTTTCTGAAATATGTTCATATCACAAATTTAGGTAAACTCCCTTTTTGTGCATACAGGCAAATTTACTTGTCAAAGTAATTAAAATCTGAACTAACATATGAAGCTTAGATTTTAACTATGCTTGTGTAAATACACATTATATATGTTATTTAATAAAATAAACGTGAATACTTGTTTTTAAAAAATCCTTTCACTTATTTAAAAAGGTTTTAGAGATAAGGAACCAATCACCTATTTTTGCATACAATCAATGTTTTTTTTTACACAGTATTTTGTACGTTTAAATGTGTGTAAATACAAAAAACCAAAACAATAGTTCTAGTAGGGAGCTCCCGATTAGGGAATACCCTGAAGCATCTTCTATCAACAACAAATGTAGCATTTTATTATTTTCGCACCATAATAAGATATAGCTGCTAACTTATTTGTTTAAAAATATATCTTGGAAACATGAAAAGAATCGAATTAAGGAAACAAGCTCGTAGTGCACGGGCACTACGGCCTAAGTTGAAAACTGTAAGTCTCTAGCTCTCATAGGTTCTGAGATCAGTCGTTCATACATACGGATTGATGAACATGGCTTGATTGACTCGGCTAGTTTTGCAGATCAATAATATACATACAGCTTATGTATTCAGAGATGCTTGCTTCTGGCTGTTACATACATTTGCACAAAACTATTTTACACCTTTTACTCATTTTCAATGTGTTTATATATATGTATATAAATTTAAGGACAATGGATATTTAAGAGGTTTACTCACCTCAGGTATCATGATGATGCCCGGCTTATGTGGAAATATGAGGTCATGGGGCGTACTAAAGTTGGTTGCTGTAATTGAACACAACTGCGTGGCCGTCCCACCATTTGTGTCCTTAACCGAGACTTGAAAGTCGTAGAAGCGGCCTGGCTCAAGGCGTCGTTGCAATACAATATTAGCTTGACAGACAGAATTGTACTTGGTGCATGGAAGCGATTCCACCTTGACAGTGGAAGAGGATACATCGCCCATAAACTCAAAGGTCAATGGATAGTCGAACTCCTCGTCAGTTGCACGCAATCTGTAGATTACAGAGCCGACCTGTGCGTCTGCCGGCACCAGTACTAGTTTCATGCGTGTAGAGGGGTCGAATTTGGGATCCACTCCGTGAACGTGATGTAGACACAGAATTCCAATTAGGATGCTGATTGTCAGCAATCGATAGGCGGTCATTGCGCTCAACCATGGGCCAAATTGCAAAGTTGGTCGACACTGACGTTGTTGATGGTAAAGCTGGGAGGTAGGTGGTTGATGATAGTAGCATTCTTCTTGCCTTCGCTTGCTCGCATCTGAATTCGTGTTGCTTGCGGCGGTTCTCAAGCCGCGGTGCGGCTCATGTGTTCGGTTGTATCTTTTTCTGCAGAAAATGTTGCTACTGCTGGAAGCCATTGCTATTATAAAAAACAGAGATATATTATGTTAAATGTATTCTTTGTTCACTTTTCTAGTTCACTTAATTGCAGTGAATGCACATTTGAATAATGTAATTTTAAACATATATATCAAACAGTAAATATCCATAGATCCGTTTTCCAAAGTAAAAAAATCTACATTAAATCAACCTGCAGTTATACCAATAATGTCTTCGTACATTCTTTGGTAACAAAACTGACTAACTCACAGAAGGGCAACAAAAGATTATTGCCAAACATGTTTACTAAAACATAAGTTATAAATAAATAACAACTACAATTTTTAGCTCCAGTAGTCTTCGTACACTTAAACTTACTTAAGAATTATTTTTAAAAACAAAATAAAAAGAAAATTATTCAACATTTATATTTGGTAGGGTTATTTTGCACGGATAAAACAAGTTTTGGGTGTAAGATGGTCAATTTTCGGTTTTCCACTTTTCTTTCAACTCCTCTAATAGCTTGGACTTCGTTCTACTGTTATGATTCCTGATTATCTTTTCCAACATCTGCCAACAATTCTCGATGGGATTTGAATCAGGACTCTGGTTTGAGGTCTTGAGTAAGTGTGGCCTATTTAATACAAAATACATTCGCGTAATATAAAAGATATTCTTAGGATCATTGTCTTGTTGAAAATAAAATGAATTCGATACTCCCAATTTTTCCACGCTTTGCCTAAACATTTTTTTATACCCTGAACCCATTAAAAATGGGTATAAGGGTATATTGTATTTGTGCGAAATCCAAAAGTATGTAACAGGCAGAAGGAAGCATCTCCGACCCCATAAAGTATATATATTCTTGATCAGCATCAATAGCCGAGTCGATCTAGCCATATCCGTCTGGCTGTCCGTCCGGCCGTCCGTATGTATGAACGCAAGGATCTCAGAACCTATAAGAGCTAGCGAGCTGAAATTTAGATGTAGGTGCTCCTAGTTCACGCGCAGATCGAGTTTGTTTCCGATAATCAATAACTTGCACCGTTTCCAAGCAATCGATAAAAATCGATATCGGTATCCTGCTTTTTGGGCAATTTTGGTAAATAATAAGAGCAAGAGTCACCAAACTTGACATATAGCTTCTAAAATAGAATATATATGCACTTGATGTTGGAAGAAGAGGGTTCAGGGTATCCCCTAGTCGGGAGCTCCCGACTAGAACCTCGTACTTGTTAGAATTGTAATTGCGGTTGTACTGTATGCTGTGCTGTGTGTATGTGCTGCTATTTTAGTTGTCTTTTTTTCGTTAAGCCCATATTCTTGGTATGCCTGTGAAGTAAGTAAGCTGAAGAAAATTCTCATTCTGAACGAGAAAGTACGTCTATGTTCACATTTTTGTAGATTTTCCTTAAGGCCTTGCAGATACATACATATTTACATACACAACATACTCTCACTACTCAGTGAAACTTGTAAATGAGTCTGATGAAAATATCTTGGAAAACAGAAAACTAGAGCTATGTATGTACTTACATATGAATTTAATATATACGTGCGATTTTTATAAGATTTAGCTCACAAATATATAAGCAGCATAGTTTTACTTGTAAGATCCAGGTTTAGTCAAGATATCTTGATATACAAAGAAAATTTCCATACAAGAACCTACTATTCGACCGATCGTTCAGATAGACCCTCTTTCTCGTCAACTATATCATTGAGGAATTTCTAGGAGTTATGATAGTTGGCTCCATAAGCTCATATAGCTGAAAATTAGGTTGTTGCATAGAAAACTTATTTGTTTTTCAAGATATCTCAACCATACTCGGCATAAACTAGTTTCCCTGTGCTTGTTAGATACGAAAAAAACACTTAGAGCATTATGAAAAAGTTTTCTGCTTATTTTATTATATCCTGAAAAGCGCAGAATTGTTCTGTGCACGTGAATGTTACGTGATAATTTTGTGTAACCGATAAAAATCGATATAGAATTCCTGTATTTTGAGTATATCTCGGCTTTTAAGAGTTAGAGACACCAAATTTGGTAAGTAGACTCTCGTATAGTATACACAGATCCAAAATATTTTACACTTAGGTTGCAATATTTATACCCTTGAAATTTTATTAAGATCTAACAAGAAACACGGAAGCAAACCACGAGCATTTCCCATACTGTGGGAATAAGAAAAAAGCAAGGGTGCGTGAGTATGTCTGATTTTATGCATGTGTAGAAGGAGCTAAAATGTTTGTCGGTAACTCGCTGGGAGGTTCAGGGAATCTCCTAGTGGGTTACTCCTGACAAGAGCCCTCAGACTTGTTTTAATGAACGTAATAACGTTATTATAATAATAATATGACTTTCTGTCATAGATCTTGTGAACTAGACAACATTTTTTTGGGTCGTGGTAATAAAAAACTATCTTCAAAAAAATTAAACCTTTTGGCATGTTACCGAAATTGTTGGATTGAATACTGAAATATTTCCTAATTCAATATGCAATTAAATGAATCACCTACCAAATGTTTTGGATCGGAAGTAATGTAAACTGGTTCTATTTGTTGACACCAAATTCAAATCAAAGTCAAGCCATGTACTGTGGACCATGTTTCACATCTGGGGATTACAAATTTTGCTTGAGATTGCTGAGGCAATTGGCCCTCAACTCTAAAGCACTACGCTACCACTCCGCAATTGGGAAATGGCCGACTGCATCTACAGCCGCAGCATCTCCATTTGCGTCTTGTTTTATGCTGCTCAAACTTCAAACTCAAACTTATTGCCAATCCGGTTTTGTCCGTCGGATCAACCGTCTGGCTTGTATGCTAGTTGCATTCGCGAATTTCCAGTTTGTGCAGCTGCACTGCGCGGTACCGTCGTGTCCTTAGTTGCAGCTAGCTACATGCGGCTGACCAGTTATGTCAGTCGATTTGGATAGAGTCGAGTTGAGGCGAGGCGAACCAGCTTGGCCACCCTCGCACCCTCGAATTTGGAGCTGCGTCGTTTGAATTTACGGCAAAGTATGTTGCAATATTATGTTTTGCCCGCATTTGGCTTAGACAGGCTCCAGTGTTATATACACCGTAGTGTGAGTCTGCATTTGTAAGTAAAGCGCCAGTCTCAGTCTTAGTCTCATTCCCAGTTCCAGTCCATGTTTCTGGTCCCTGCCTGCAACTTTTTCCCGTTTACTGGTTTTAAGGCGACCGCCGTATTGCGCAACAATTGTAGCACACAATATTTGTGCCAATTGGTTAAATTTCTCTTAACACACATACGAATCGGAAATACCAGCCGGACCGAATGATATCGGTATAATTTTCCTAACGCCAGAAAGCCTGGGACCTCAAATATTTCTGTCAATTCTTAAAGCTTTGATTTCCATCATAAACTCATTAGCAAAAGGAGAACCGAATTTTATTGATATACATATGTACATATATATATATATATATACGTATGTACTTTCAATTGATTAGTAACATTTTTTTGTCTTGTCCATATGTAAGTTTTTCATTTTATAGTCAAGGCTGAGGGATTATGCAAAAATTATAAATGAGGTCAACACGAATTTGTATATACCTATGAAAATGAGTTTAAAGTTGATAGGGTGATAAACGAAAATATTAAATAGTTTTGCAACATTTTGATGCCCTGACTACACGAAAATCTTTTTGGTAGATATCATCGAAAACTGGCTCCTTTTCCATGAAATGAACTAATTCGATATCGACATGATGTTATTTGAGCGTATCTCCGAGTTTATAGGAGCTAGGGACAGAATGTTTGTATATTTAAGTATATAAATGGCCCACAAATTTCAAGGGATCGGACAATAAACACCGAAGTTAGCCACGAAACAATTCCCATGTTGAGGGGCTAAGAGAAGAAGAAGCGCAGCCGCAGCAAACGGCGTGCGTGCGTTTGTCTTTATATTTATGTCTTCATATATATACATGTAAAGAAGGCAACAAAAAAGGTTTGTGACGGCAGATCGTCGCAGGGTTCAGGGAAACTCCTAGTCGGACACTCCCGCCCAAAACAGTCACATGTTATTATTATTATTATTACCCTTAAAAAAATATGATATTAGAATTCCTTTTTGATTTTGTGAAAAGCTATTATAATCGCCTAGACCTGCCAAAAAGATCCATGAGTTTTCCCTTAAAATTTTTTCCATTAAAATATTTTATTGAAATTATTAAACATTATTTAATCATTTTAAAATTTGAATAATTCCTCTATAATATAATATATATATTTTCATATTCATGTAACTAAAATTACTTGATAAAGCTGGTCGAATGTGTTGTTTCGTTCACAGCAACTATGACTTCCGTATAGGGTATGTAAACTTCGACCCGATCGCGCCGGGTTCCACGGTACGATTAATGTCCTTTCTTGTTCGTAGTAAGTCTGGCCTGCTTCGCGACCGCGACAAAAATCGTGAGTTCACTTTGCAGCAAAACAAGATTTTGGGCGTTGTTCAATTTTTAGGCTGACTTCGCGGTCTACATGCGGAAAATGCAGCAGCTTCGTGAGCTGCGCAACTTTTGGCTGTTTTCGGATTGCAGCTTTGGCCGGCTGTGGTTGCATTCAACTAGAATGAAAATTTGTGTTGCAAATAAAGTTGAACCCGATGGCAAACTAATCTGCTTCACGACAATGCCAGTCATATAACCAGCAAGCCATGCCTGGCAGGCAGGCAACTAGCCAGCGACGCAGACTCGTAATCAACTTTTATTTAACCGCGCTCATACTTGCTTACCCCGCTCCCGTGATATGACCGTCCTTCAGCATGCTAGATGCCTGGCCATGTTTTCCTGCCTTCACTATTAAAGGGGATTGTTGGGCGCAGTCCGTCTTTGGATTTTGTCTATCCGACTTTCAGTGCGTCTGGGCACTCGTCAGTGGGCTTATGCCCGTCTACTTTTTCAGAGTGTGTATCTGCATATTTATGTGCATATTTATGGCGTACATGTGTGCTTAGACTTTTTATTGGTGCAGCTGCGGGAGTGGTTTGGGTGTGTCTGGGTCTTC